TATTTATATGATTTTTTTTATTTTATTTTAATTAGCTTTTATAAGTAATTTATTTTAATTAGCTTTGCTAGATCACTTCGTGATCCATAGGAACTAATCTGGATCCCTTTAGGATCTATTATGTATTTAAATTTATCTGCAGTTTTTTATACTTTTTACTATTTATTTCACCTCTTCTTAATAACACATCACATATAGAAACAGCTTCATTTCTTGCTCCTGTATTACCTGCTTTTAAAGCGGCTATACGTAATTTAAGCATTTCATATAGCTCATTTGGATTGTTTGGAAGAATAACCACACCTTTTCAATGTTTTAGATTAATATCATCCCATATTGGTTTTATTATATTAATGTATTTATAACCTCTTGATGATTTTGGTTTAGCTAAATTTTTATTAGAACGAATTGAGTCAGTTTGATTTAGAATCTCTTTATATTTGTAAAGATCGTCATTACTATAATTAGAAGGATGTAATTTTACTATTAATTCCCAAAGCCCAGGTGTTCCAATATATTTTCTACCTTCAATAATTATATTATCACCTTCAATATTTATCATTTTTTTAACAATATAAGAATTTTTATCCTTGTTATAATGTATACCAAATGTAGTATCTACTACTTTTTTAGTATTTTTAGTGTTATATAACTTTAGATATTCTGCTGCAATAGATCCTAATGCTGTGTTAGTTGACTGATCAGCAATATTATATAATTTTGATAAACTTTCCTTTACTTTAGGTTGACTATCTTCTGAATAATCTCTACCTAATTTTTCATTTATAGAATCATTATATATTTTTTTATTTAATTTAATGCCATCTGCCATTTTTTCTCTCATTTCATTATTTTTAACTTTAACATACGACATTTTATATAAGCAATAATTTTTTTAAATTGCTTTTAATAGTGTATGTTTTACATTAACATAATGTATGTTTTACATTAACATAATGTATGTTTTAATCTAACATATATTATGAATTAATTAATATTTATTTTGTTTATATTCTGGTTTTTACCAAACCTACTTTCCAGCAATTCCATAGCTTCTTTTATAGCTCTCTCTTTACCTTGATTAATTAATGATTCTTTAGTTTGTTTATCAATTTCTTCGTTAGATTTTGTTCTAACTACTTCAACCATTTTTTGAAACTCTTCATATTCTGAAACTATCTTTGCAAACTCTATATCATCAATCTTACCATCTGTTAAAGCTTTAGAAATTTCATTGCTTATACTGTTCAATTTAGAATCTGCTAACGTTTTAATCTTTTCATGTTTTTCTGCTTTTATGATTAATTTTTTAACAGCTTGTGATCCTATTAATGATAATACACCCATACCTAATGCTGCAATTTCACATCCAAGAGCTACTGGTGATCCGACTATTGTTGTTAAAAATCCAATACCAACAGCTCCAAGTGCCATCGTGCTAGCTAGTAATGAATTATCGATAGCTGAAACTATTCTTAAAGATTTATGATATTTTTTACTTAAAATTTCTCTTCTCATTCTTTCACATTCTATCTTACTTTGAATTTCATTTATCTTAACTAATCGAAAATTCTGATCAGATAGTGGTGGTGCAGTTGGATCAACTCTAAACTGACTAATATCTGGATAAATATTTTTATGCTCTTCATTTTTGCATTCTTTATAAAATTCCATTCTTTTTATAAAGAATTATTTTTATTTAAATCTCTTTTAGAGATACGTATCCCTTTAGGATCTAAATTATTTTAGTTTATCATATTTCTTAGAATTAGATTTATTTACAAATTTAGGATCATCTTTATTAAATATATTACTTATTAATGAACTTCCTACATCTTTTAATTATTCTCCTATATCTGATAATATAGATTTAACTGAGTCTTTATCACTTTGGGATTCAACTTGTTTTTCTTTTTTTGTTTCTTTTTTTGTTTCTTCACTCGATACATTTAGTGACTCATAAAAACTTGGTTCAACTTGTTCTACTTTATATTTATTAGTCGATATATAATTAACTCTATTAAAATCCCATTATAAGATAAGATGTAAAATAAACAATCTCCTTTTTCAATTTTTTTATCTTCATTCTCATTATTATATAATGTTATAATAATATCATCAGTAGACTCTGCTATTACAGAATTAGACAAGTTTAAATATGGTTTATATTTTTCTGAAAAGCAACTAATGCATAACCTTCGTTTATTTCAACTCCACACTTTAAAGAGATGTATTAATACGATTTTGATTTCATTACAAAATCTTGCTGTGCAAATATCTTAACTTTTTCAATTTCAATCTTTGCGTTATGTTCTAAATCTAAATTAATATTAATAATTACTGTAGGCTTTATATATTTTTCAGGATTCAAATACATTCTATGCATTTTATGAATATAAAGATTTTTTAAATTTATTTTCATAAATTTATCATTTTATATGCACAATAAAAAATTTATTTTTTAAAAAAATGATTTAAATAATTATTCTTGCATATATAAAATGGAAAACGAAATAGCGAAGCAAGGATCGCAGAGTGATCTAGAAAAGAAGCTTGAAGAATTATGCTTAAAATTAAAATTAATAGAAAAAAGTTTAGAAATGTTAGAAGATGCTGAAGTTACTGAAGTTACTGAAGTTACTACTACTGAAATTACTGAAGTGACTACTAAAGTAACTACTGAAGTTACTGAAGATGAAGATGAAGATGAAGATAGAGATGAAGATGGAGATGAAGATAAGATGAAGATGGAGATGAAGATGGAGATGAAGATGGAGATGAAGAAAGTACATAGATTTAATTATTTTTTACAGAATAAAATATATATATTTTTTTTGAAATGAGTTAAATAATTTTCTTGAGTATATAAAAAGAATGTTATATGTGAAGATTGGAGATTTTAATGAAAAAAATTTATATGTAAAAGAAATTAAAAAATTTAATAAACCTGTTAAATATCAAAAAATAGTAATTGAATACAAATACTCTTCTAAATATTCAGGACCTTTAAGAGTAAAGACTCCAAAAATGTTTTCATATAGAGTTAATGAAAACAGAGACATAAAAACAAAAGAAGTTACAGGATATTCAATTCCTTTTGTATGTGAAAATGAAAAATTTATTAAGATGATTCAATCTATTGAAAATTTTTGTAGAGATAAAGTTAAAGAGAATGAATCAAAGTTAAAAAAAGGTGGTATGAAAGGCTTAAATATTGACAACTTGAATATTTTAAAGTATAGAGATGATGATTCAAATCCAATTTTATATGCAAAAATACCTAAAGATTTTGAAAGTGGAAAGATGGAACAAGTATTTAGATCTAAAGATTCAGATTTTGATAGAGATAAAAATGATGATATTCTAGGAGAAAGTCTTATTAAAAAAAGATGTGATGTAATTAGCTGTTTAACAATTGAAGGTGTATATGTAAGTTCAATGATTCAATCTATACAAGTTAAATTATCAGATGCAGTTTTATATGCAAAAGAGTACAAAAAAGAAAGTTCAAGAATAATTGAAGATATAGATTTAGAAAGTGAAGATGAAGAGTAAGTATTAATTTTATATATTAGCAAATAATATATAAAATGAGATAGGTCTCTTTGAGACCCAGGGTTCCGAAGGAACTTAGCGAAGCATTGATCACAAAGTGATCTAAATAATAATTATCATAAATATAAAAAATGTCATATGTTAAATCTAAATATATTAGTGTAGAAAGCTATTATAAATCAAATATTCCTATAATTAATTTTGATGAAAATGATATTAAACTAGATGAGAATAAAGAATATGAAATGGCTCTAGCTAAACTAGAGTATGTTAACTACAACATTTTATCAGAAATAACAAGTTTTCGTATATTAAATAATATTGTTGAAGGACAAAATATTAATGGTAAAGCTACTAGTGTTATGCATACATTCTTACCAATAGCTAGACCTTCAGAAGTAGCTGTTCTTGAAAAACCTCATTTTGATTATTATCCGTTAAAAATAAAAAAACTTACTTCGATGAAAGTTGAAGTAATCGATAATAACAATAAAGTTATAGATTTTAGTAATGGAGTAATATTGATACAATTTCATTTAAGTAAAGTAAATCATTAATTATTTTGAAAATCGTATATATAAAATATATTCTATATTTAAAAATTAACATATGTATAAGCGGTAAAAGCTCAACTATAATTAATAATTTTTCACCATCTATCGAACTAGATGAAAAAAAAGATTATGAAATGGCATTAATTGGTTTAGAAACATATAACAGTTTCCCAAATATTAATGCATCAAATTACAATCTTAGATATAGTCCAGATAATGGTGTAAATTGGGATATTATTACTATCCCAGAAGGTTCATATGAATTTAAAGACATAAATTTATTTATACAAGCAGAACTTACAGCTAAAAGAATTCCATTATCTATTGCACTTGATTCAAATATTAATACATTGAGAGCATCAATGACACTTTCAGCTAATTTTCAGGTTGATTTTACATATCCAAATTCACTTAATACAGTTTTAGGATATAAAAGTAAAATATACACTGCATTAACTAATCCTAATGTATCAGATGACATAGTAGATATAAATCATATTAGTACTATACATGTTACAAGTAATGTTATATCAAGTTCGTATCTAGATAACTCACCTAAAAACATCATATATTCATTTTATCCGAAAGTACCTCCTGGAGCTAAAATTGTTGGAAAACCAAATACTCCAATTTATTTACCATTATCATCAAAAAAGATTTGGAGTTTAACAACAACATTAATAGATCAAGATCAAGACTTGGTAAATTTAAAAGGAGAAGTATTATCTGTTAAATTTCATATAAGAGAAAAATCTTCTAAATGTGAACTTACAGCTATTTTAAAAGATAATAATAGATTATTAAAAGAATTGGTTAAACTTTTGGGAAATAGGATATAGATAATAAATGAGATTCTGAAAATCATCTAAATAAAAATATATAGTAAATAAAATGTTAGTAATAAACAATAAAGGATATAAACGTAAACATGTTGTTGGTGGAAGTGGTTTATTCAATTTTATTAAAAACATGTTTAGTAGACAAGCATTAACTAATGCATTAAAAGCATCTAAATCTTTAGCTGTTAAAGCAGCTTCTTCAGATTTAGGAAAAACTGCAGTAGGAGCTGCAAAGTCTGCAGGTAAAGAACTTGCTACTTCTGCAATATCTACTGCTAAAGACGCTGTAATAAATAAAGGAAAAAAGATTATCGAATCTAAAAAAGCAATAATACCTTCAGTACAAATAAAAGATATTACATCTCTTACACCTGAAAATAAACAAGGTCTTAAAAATTTAATTGATTCTTTACCTTCATCAAACGAAAATGAAAGAAATATAAATAATTTGCTTATGGGATCATCATATAAATCAACTAAAAAACTCACAAAAGAAAATAAACAAGGTCTTAAAAATTTAACTAAATCATCAAAAAAAGATGTAATTAGCATACAAGATTTAGTTAAAAATCATCAAAAAAAAGGTAAAGGTCTTAAAATATCTCAAATCTTAAAATTTTATTTCTTGATTGAAAATAACTTAAAAAAATTATCTATATTTAATAAAAATGGTAAATTCCGATATATTAAATATTACTGAAAAAACAATTATCGATGAGGGTATTAAATATATGAATACAGAGAATGTCCTACTACTATTAATACAGATTTAAATTCTCCTGGAGCTCTTATACAATTTGTAATTGGTAAAGCAGAAGGTATTTTACGTCCATCTGAATTCTATTTAATGATTGAAGGAAGACTTTTAAAAGCAGATGGAACATCCTATGCTAACTCAGATGCTATAACACTAGCAAATAATGGAATCATGCACTTATTTCAAAGAATTGATTATCAACTATCAAATGAAATGGTAGAGCAAGTTAATTTTCCAGGCCAAGCAACTACAATGCTTGGAATTTTAAAATATACAAATGACTTTCAACTATCAAAAGGAATGAATCAATTATGGCATAAAGATAGTGGAACATCAGCAAGTTATGCAGATAACTTAGGATTTTCAATAAGACAATCATATATAATTCAGAAACCGACTGCAAAAGGATCATTTTCATTTTATATTCCTTTAAGACATATTTTTGGATTCTGTGATGATTATGATAAAGTTCTTTATGGATTACAACATACAATTACCTTTACAAGAAAAAGTGATGATAGTGCAATTTATAGAGCTTCTGGAGTAGCTGCAGGTAAAGTAGTTCTTAGTAAGATGTCAATATTTATACCTCGTATAGAACCATCATTAATTAATGATGTTCATTTAAAAAAAATTATTGCAGGAAAAGATTTACTTCAACTTAGTTTTCGTTCAAGATACTGTGAAATGGCAGTTGTTCCACAAAATACTTTATTTGATTGGAATATAGGATTAAGAACTACTGAAACACCTAGATATGTAATTGTAGGATTTCAAACAAACAAAGATAATGATCAAACACAAAACCCTTCATCATTTGATCATTGTGACTTGCAAGATATATGGGTTGAACTAGGTACAACAAAGTATCCTTATTCAGAATATTCATTATCTTTTCCAAATATGCAATTCTTAAGGATTTATGAAGAAGCTATATCCTTTGCAAATAATTATTATAACGTACCAGATCTAATACAACTAGGAAACATGACATCTTCAGACTATAGAGATTTATATCCAATTATGGTTTTTGATATAAGCAATCAAGACAGAGATACTTCAAGTACAATGAGTACCATTTATATTAAATCTAAATATTATTCTGTATTGGAGACATTAACATAAACTGTTTACAGTACAATGAAGATGCTGTTACCAAAATTTTTTTTGATGATATGTTTCAACACTACATCTTCCCTATAATAAACAAACCCACCCGGGTAACATCAACTTCAATCACTGCAATAGATAACATATTGACTAATTCATTTTATGATTCTTCATTAAAAGCAGGTGTAATCAAAACGGATATATCCAATCACTTTCCGATATACTTTTCTTTGTTTCAAGATACAAAAACAAACAACTCAAAAACCAAAGTCTATAAACGAAAAATTAATAAATTTACTATTCAACAGTTTAAAGACTCACTATCGGCAGTGAGATGGGATAAGATTTACCAAAAATGCAACCTTGGGCACACCAACTCTGCTTATAATGAGTTTTTAGAAATATTCTTAAAGCATTATAATAATCACTTCCCAATTATAGAACAACAATTAAAAGTAAAATACTTACAATGTCCATGGATTACTAGAGGTATAAAAAAATCTTCAAAAAAAAAGCAAAAACTTTACATCAAATATTTAAAAAATAGAAATGAAAAAAACCTAAATACCTACAAGCAATACAAAAATTTATTTGAAAAAATTAAAAAAAATTAAAAAAAAAACTACTACTCGAAGCAAATAAAAAATGCAACTGGTGACATTAAAAAAACATGGAACATTATAAAAGAAATAATTGGGAACAAAAAAACTAAATCAAATAATTTGCCTGCTCGAATTATCATAGACAATATAGAGTACAGTGACAAAAATAAAATTGCTGAAAAATTCAATGAATTTTTTGTTAACATTGGCCCTAATCTTGCCTCAAAAATTGAGTATCCTAATAACTCGTTTGAATCATATCTAAATGATCCCCAGAGCGAACTAAAATACAAAGAACTAAGCTATCAAGAGCTTAACGTTGCACTAAACTCCTTAAAATTAAATAAAACTCCAGGAATAGACGATATCTGTAGTAGGATAGTGGCAAATGTCTTTACAGTGATAAATAAACCTATATTTGAAATCTTCAAGTCTTCGATTAAAACAGGAGTTGTACCAGACAAGTTAAAAGTAGCTAAAGTAGTACCAATATTTAAAACAGGTGAATCATACTTAATTAATAACTATAGACCTATCTCGGTACTCCCTACCTTCTCTAAGCTTCTCGAACGAGTAATCTACAACAGATTGTACGAGTATTTAATCCAAAATAAAATCTTAAATAAAAAACAATTTGGCTTCCAAAAGCAATATTCGACTGAACACGCAATCCTAGATCTAATTAATAGTATAAGTGATTCTTTTGATAAAAAACAATATGTTCTGGGGATCTTTATAGACCTGTCAAAAGCCTTTGACACAGTAAATCATAATATCTTACTTAAAAAAATGGAAAGCTATGGAGTAAAAAACATCACTCTTGACTGGTTCAAAAACTACCTAAGCAATAGGCAACAATGTGTTATTTCAGACAATTATAAACACTCAAAACTACTAAGAATAGAGTGCGGTGTCCCCCAAGGTTCCATTCTTGGACCCCTTCTGTTTCTTCTATATATTAACGACCTTACAAAAACCTCGAAAAAACTTGATGTTATAATGTTTGCCGACGACACAAATTTATTTTATTCCTCGAACTCAATCAAAAACCTTTATGAATGTATGAACAAAGAGCTTGAAAAATTAAACATCTGGTTGAAATTAAATAAGTTATCACTAAATACAGAAAAAACAAAATATATACTGTTTCATTCCAAAAAACAAAAAAATAATATACCAACTATACTTCCCCCACTAAAAATAGAAAAAAAAGGTAAACATTAAAAGAACAGAAACAACAAAAATTCTTGGGATACTTATTGACGAAAATATAACTTGGAGAGCCCATATTAGTACAATAAACACCAAAATTTCAAAAAATATTGGGATACTTTACAAAGTTAAACCTATGTTGTCCCAAGATAATCTTAAATCTCTTTATTTTTCTTGCATCCAAAGTTATCTTACGTACGCTAATATTGCATGGGCAAGTACACACAAATCCAAGTTAAATACTCTTTATTTAAGTCAAAAACATGCATCAAGATTAGTTTATAATAAATATAAACTCACCCATGCTGAACCTTTACTAAAAACCCTAAATGCACTGAATGTTTACCAAATCAACATCTATCAAAATATTCTTTTCATGCTTAAATACAATCTTGGACTAGTCTCATCGCATTTTTTAGATAACTTTTTTCAAATTAACTCTAATAGATATACCACAAGAGCAACAGGGAACTTCACATTACCAAAAAAAACAACAAAGTTCTCACGATTCTCTATTTCCTACCGGGGTCCGTACCTATATAACAAAATAATATCCGAAAATATAGAACTTAAAGCATTAAATAATTCTGCCACCTTGAAAAAAAAATTAAAACACCTCATACTTAATATCAAAAATTTTATTGACATGTATTAAACTTAACAACAAGATTTATACTAAAATGTTTATGTGTATCACTGACTGTGTATTGTTTAAGCACTTTTAACTATATATAAAAATTAATTAAATTTATTTAACCACTTGAAAAGGTACTTGATGATAAGACTTCATAGTCTTCTGCGAGTCTCCTTTACAACAACATGTTTATATTTGAATAAACAATAGTTTTTATTTAAAAAAAAAAACAGTGTTTATTAATCTAACGTTATATTTTATTATAATTGTTAAATTACGTATTCTTATGTTATGTTATATATTTTACTCTTTGCATTAAATTATATGATAGATTTGTAACGTAATGAAGTGTATATTGAAGTTGTAAAAAAAAAAAAAAAAAAAAAAAAAAATTTAATACAGCTGTTCCAGCAAATACTAGAGCGTATGCTCTAATCATATCTGATAGATTAGCAAAACTTGTTTCAAATGGAGAAGATTTAATATTTGAACGCAAAGTACTGAAAGAACCTAGACTTAAAAAATTAAGCGCATGCGCACAAATTACAATATCACGTGACCTGTGACGTCATTAAAGAAAATAAATTATCGCAAAATGATTTTTAAAAATTGAAAAATTTTATTTCTTAGTTTTATAATTTATACACATTATGGACAACATCAAACCATATATTTAAATAAATATATGGTTTAAAATATGGTTAAAATAGAAAATGTCCCAGAACTGTCGCCACTCTACTACTCTGATATTTAACAGATGTTGATAAAACCAGTCTCTCTGAGTGCTACCACTGAGTAACTACCGGCCACTCTCAGAAAAATTAAAATGAATATAAGAGCTGCACCCTCATTAGGAAATAAAAAGAAGAGGTTTTTTAGTTCAGGAGTAAAGCTATTATAATGATTTTTGTGTTTTCCTCATTGATTACAAAGTGTGTGATCTACATAATAAAAAACTTTAATTTTTATATGAATTATTTTATTGAAAACTTGAATTAGGAATAAATATTTAATGATCATTGATGTATTCAATAAAAAGTATATAACTTGCCTGTGGTTAAAAGAATTTTTTTATTGTCTCCATCCTTTCCTTCTTTATGCCAAAGATTGAAATAAACGCAGATAAAAATTAACAAACGAACCTTTACTCACAAAATGATTTGTAATTAAAATTTTATATTTGTAACTACTACTATAACCTTTTGAATCAATATTTTGTGGTCTTCTTCTTGAAACATTAAAGTTATTAAACTAGAAAGATACTAATCTTGAGCTTTTTTGCTAGCTCGAAAGTTACAGTAACTTAATCAAAAGTTTTTATCTTCTCTTTTAACAATTTCGAAGAATTTCAACCTTTTACAGTTACGTTCAAACCCTGTTTTATGCAATGCTAGTCTTTGTTTTTTTATACTTTTGCGCAACCTTTCTTTGTTTTGTCTTGGAACTTTTTTGTCATTAAAATGCCGTTATTTTTAGTAATAAATTTAAATTAACCAAATCATCTGCGAGTATTATGTAAAACAAAGACTTTGAGCTTTCAATACAAGTCTTGGTAATACAGAGTAAATTTAGCATATGTCTATTAGTAAGTACTGAATGCTATTTGCATTCTTAAAAACTTTTTTTTGGGGAAGTTTTTATTTTAATATTAAAGAAAAGAGGCTTAACTCTGTTAAACTTTAAATATACATTAAATATATTTGATTTAAATTTAAATACAAAAGATGTTAGTTTATAAAGCTAGTTTATAAGTCTAAAAAGTCTAAAAATTTTAAATGTGACCCTCCTATTTCTTACCGTGGAATCTTCACATATAAACATGGATGTAAACGTGCTGGTAAAATTGAATTCTATTGCCAATTAAAGCTAACGCATGAGACTAAAATTTATATTAGAATAATGATATGCGGTAGTGATGCAGTGGTAGAGCACTCGCCTCATAAGCGAGAAGTTCCGAGTTTAATCCTCACCAATTCCCTGGTAGTACGCTGCTCAACCTGTAAAATTTTTAAATTTGTTTTTAAAAGTAAAAATTTTTTTCATCAAATTTTGCTCCAATGCTCCAATGTAACAAAATGCTCCAAGTTTTTTGCCTTAACTAAATACAAACTGTATTAACTATACGTTAGAATACTAAGGTTATTTTAACAAATAAATACTTTAACAACTTTATAAAAAATAAGTACTTTTTTCAAGTTTATAACCTATAAGTTCATTTTTCAAGTTTATAGTGATGTTTGGCACTTTTTGGTTAAAGTTAAAAACTTGCTTTCCTTGGCGACTTATTACTAAAAGCACACATGCGCATACACACGCACCACACACATAAAGAAACACTTCTACATTAATAAGTTTTGTATGAAGTTAAAGCGATAAAAATTCACATTTTTAATTTTTTCCTAAGGTATCTTTTAAAAGATATAAACATGCAAAAAATAACACGGACGATTCGAAACAAGATATATAAAAAAAGAAACTTTCAAAGTGAATCTGCAACCAAGGTAAGATTTTAATTATAAAATATTATACGAATGTAAAAAAAAAATGATTTGTTTCATATTTATTTGCATCATACTTACTTTTAAATTGAGTTTATGAACAAAAAAATATAATTTATTTATAGATTAATTTTTGCTTCTTTTGCAACAATTTTTTTTGGTTTTTATTTTCAAGAATTTTTTTTTTTTTAATGTAAACATAATTATTTTTACTAGCATTACAAAGTATAACCATTATACACTTGTTAAATAAACAAATGACTATCTGACTGTATTTTTTTCCCTGGTTATTAAGGTGATACAAAAAGACCTTATGATGTTGTCACAGAGCACCAAGGAAGTGCATTTAACAAGAACGTTAACGCCGCCTTCCTTATCAATTTATAGGAGCAGACATCAAACTTTGGACCTCAGGATTTTGAAGCTTATGCTCTAATCATTGCGCCACAGCTGCTCAAGTGGTTATATTATTAATATTTTGAATTATATGTTTTGTGCTCTACAACTGAAGAAATTTAAATTGAGACATTTTTAAGTAAGTTTTTTTTTGGCTTAAGAACTCACTACATATCACAGTTAAATTCGACTAGCAAGCCTAATATATTAGAACAATATTTACTTGGGGAATTTAGCTTAAGATGTTTACAATGAATTTAAATAAACATAAGTTATTTTTATTAGTATTTTTTTAAACAGCTACTATAATTTTTTGAGAAATTTTTTTTGTAACAATGTCTATAAAGTTTTCAAATTTCTGAAAAGAAACATATTTTTCTCAGTGATTTTTACTTTAATATTTTCATAAAATATTTGCTAAAAGATAGCTCTTTAAACTATTGAATTTCAACACTTGTGGTTATTAATGCTTATTTTATATCTTTGGAAATTGTATAGCCCAAAACGATGATTACGCATTTTTATTTTATTAGAACAACATGCTTGCTGAATACCGTCTACAATAGCTTGCTGTACAATCAATCAATACAATAAGGTGTTTTAGTTTGCAACAAATAATATCAAAAATTAATTTATTGAGAAAAGAAACGAATAAATAAGTTTAACTTATTTTGTTAATTAGGCTCTAATATTTTTTTGATTTTAAATCAAATTTTTATAGTTCGTACTAGAGATACCACGATAGTGATTATGCCGAATTCCTAATATTTGGCTAGACGCTTGACAAAGCACCGAATATTTGACGACACTTATTAATTTGGAGGATTCCGACCTGCTTCATTAAGATAAAAATGTTAACTACGCTGTGGCGCATTTCTTTAATTTTGCGATTAGGTCGTGTCACAGCCAGGGCAGACGATACGGTTTTCAAAATGCGGGGGGCATCCCATTCATCAATTTTTTAAAAAAGTCAACTAACTATATCTAGAAATTTCTGAAAAAAAAATCCTTTAAAAAAAAAACCTGGAGGGGGCGGGTAGGGAGAGGGGCAGCGCCCCCGTCCCTACCTTCCCCTACCCCTTCCGTGTTGTCGGCTTTAGTTATAGTTATGTATTATTTTATCTTCAAACTAAAAAATTTCAAAAATAATTAACTCTGGTATATCTTGCATTTCTGAGGTAATTTTAGAAGTTGCAATACATCGAACAAAGAACTCCAAACTGTTAAAAATAATATTATCACCATAATCTGAACTTTAAATATAGTTTAATTTTAATGGGAATGAAAATTGTACGATTATTTTTTTTGTTATCACATTCCAAAACTTATTTTCAAGTAAGAATAAAGTTTAATTGCAAATGAGATTGGTTTTTAAGCAAAACACTTTTTCCAATTATACAAACGTTTATTAAAATTATTGCAATGTTTCAGACACTGACGTACTTTAATTCAATTACACCGTTTTGCGTTTAAGTTGGACAATTTTTAATTTAATTTTTCATTTTTTCATTTTAGTTTGGCAATTTTCACTTTACAAATTATAGTGAAAATTGCCAAATTATAAGGAAACTTAAAGGCAAAATGGTGTTATTATAAATGACTGTGCTCATATGATCTTATTATTTGGTAAAGTACCTATTAGAGTAACGGATATGTAAACCAAAATCAGGATTGAATAAAAGTATAAAATACAACTCAGGGGCGTGTACAAGAAATTTTTTGGGTAAGTCCAAAAAAAAAAAAAAGCTTTCTCCCCATTTTTTTTTTTTTTTTAGTTTTGGTCGGATTAAGTGTTTTTTGTAAAAATAACTTAATAAATGTTTAAACATCGTTAAAGTGGTCACTAAGCTGAATTATTGATTTTTGCAAATTAATAAAATTTATTAAGTATTGCGAATACAATTAGATTTTTGCAAATCAAATTGTAATCGCAATACTTAATAAATTTTATTTATGACAAAAATTAAACGTATAAGGCGCAAAAGAGACGGCATCTTTTATTAATAACTAACTGGGAACAAAATATGTTTATTTATTCTCAAGTTCATTATGACTGACAAAGACCGCGTCCTAACGCTTTCAAGCTAAAATTATTTTTTGAACAGTTAGTCGTGTAAACTTTTTTAATATAATTTTATTTTTAATTTATAATTTTTAATTATAAATAAACTTTATAAATACTTACCAAGAATAAAAAACTCATTGTATTAACTTTACAATGCTAAATAATGTTTTTACAAAGAAAATAGCTGTTCAACATGACATTTTTCGAAATTATAATTTTACTTGAATTTTATTTAAAACGCAATTCAAAAGTATTTATAACAAGTTTTTTGAAAACATGTTTACTATCTATAAACAACTCTGTGTAAAAAGTTTAACTAAACCATTTAGACTTTATCTACCATTTTGCTTTGTACCATCTTCTTACTATTCTCTTAAACACCTTGTAATGAAAAGGTTTGTTGCTTGTAATGATTCAGTATTATTAGATTGGAGTTAATTTTTGAAATTCAGCCGGTTAAGTACAATTCCACCAAATTTCTGAGAGGTCAAATTAACGTAACAAATAATAAATAAACCTAATAAAGCCTTTGGTTAAATAAAAGGCAGTAAAAGATATGACTTGGTCTTTCCAACTAGTATACCAAGATAACTGAATTTCTGCAAATTTTGTTTTGAAAAAACTAAAGATTAGGACAAAAAACTAAAAGACAGATGCTTTATAACACTTTAAAGTTGTATTACCGAATATTGTGTTGAACTCTGTACTCAAATTGGATAGTCTAGCAAAGGAACAGTGTAATTAATTTAACATAATTTAAAATGCACATTTTAGACAAGTTTAAAGTATATTTGAAGGTGTTGATTAACAATATTTCTAAGTGAAGATACAACATCTTTAATGCTTAAATAAGATTTAAACTATAAAAAGTATCATTATTACTTGTTTGCACATTCGCGTAATTAAAAGCTATACAAAAAACATTTCATGTTATACGCAGTGCAACAACAAAATCAAAAATTGCTATTAATTTCAGTAAAGGAAGCAGTAACAAAGGTTAAATGCTCTATTGATATTTAAAGACATTCTTTAAGAAAAAAAACCCACAGGAATAAAAAACTTTTGTAAAGTATCCATGCCATGATTCATAAAATCCAAAGAAATATCAGCAATAGGTTTTATTAAAATACTAAATAAATAAATTTTTTATATGTCTAATTTCAAATTTTAATACTAAAAAAACGTAATGATTATGTAGAAAAGGGCACAAAAACCATTTAAAATTCTTTCAAAACTTAAGAAAAAGTAACACTTTGAAAACAAGGTGATGATAAGTTTCATTTTTTGCAACAAATGCTTGATTATCCAAGAAAAACGTGAAACAAAGGCAAGTTTTTATCTATGTAATTATAAACAGCTTCTTCTTGTAATAACTTTTAGTCTTCCTTTCTTGTATTCAAAGGATATTGTGATTTCGAAAATTAGTATAATATTTGGTTGCCAAACTTTAAAGGAAATGATGTTTTTTTTATAATGTTTCTCCTCAACGGACTAACCTTTTTTAGGAAGGGCTATAAATTAGGAATTATGAGACATTCTCAACTAATCAACGGCTATATTTTGTGTTTAATAAAACACAAATTTAACAAAACTTAAATCAAGCAGGGTGAATGTATGTAAGTCTGATTAAATTTTTTATATCTGAAATTTTTTCTTTCCTTATTTATAATTCAAAATACAAGTTATTCAAAAGATAGGCAGTCTAGTGTAATAGAATTGGGGATTTCCATTAACTTATCTTAATGTATATTTATCAATACTAACTAGTTTTACCTCCTAATGATAATTAAACAATAAAACTTGATAAAAATTTTATTCAAGGTGTATGTCAAAAAGAAGTCTAAAATTTGTTTTAACTGAAATGATCATTTTGATTTTTTATAAACTAAAAAAAAAACTTAGAAAATAAAGTTCTTTATAACAAAATAAAATAAGGTACCCAGTGGGCACCGGACCTAAAAAAGACGTCTTTTGAACGTTCAAAAGACGTCTAAAACGTGTAAAAGACGTTTAAAAGACGTATTTTTTACCTCCGTGCCTACTGGGTTTGTCAATTCAAGTTTCTAATTACGTTGTACAACTGAAAAGTTCCATCAAAACGTTGAAGTTTTTTTAAATAATCGTAAAATTATGAAACCGAAATACTATCATTTTTCCAGGTATTTAATTTCTTTCCAATTGTAAAATTTTTTATTTTTTCAGATATATTTTCAAAATGAAAAACGTTTATTTGATTTTGATTGCTACGTCCAACGACGTAGCAGATATCCCCTAGACACGCCTCTGCAACTCTAAAGTCAAACGCTCCTGCAACTCCAAAGTCGAACTCCAAAGTCAAACAAATTATGTATCGAATTCGCCCATACATAAATTCACATAGCCGAAAGTTTATATACTTTAGCTTAATTAATTGTTACATTACTTATGCAAATATTACGTGGGCAAGTTGTCAACCAACAAAACTTAAAAAAAAAATTTTCTTAGAAAAACATTTTTTTAGAATTATATACAACAAAAAAGCGTGGACCAAACTAAACCTTTAATGATGGATATGAAAATTATGAACATATATCAGATAGATATTTACCAACATCTAAAGGTTATGTATAAATATATCAATAATCTAACTCCTGAAATCTTTATAAATAAATTTAATAAAAATCTAATGAGAAGTTTTTCTTAACAATCAACTCAACTCAAAGTAACACATTTAAATTACCTAAAAAAGTTAACAAATACACAGAATTACTATAACTTATAGAGGTCCCAAGATATGGAACTCATTTCTGAAAGGTAATTTAAATATGGCAAAATCATTAAATTCATTTCAGTGTCAAACAAAAACTTACGTTTTAAATTTTTATTTGTTTTTTTAATTTAGATTAATTTTTATTTTTGTTTACAAAAATTTTTTTTTTAAGCATTTTATCTGATATTTAACTTTTGTATTTTTAAATATTATATCTAATCTTTATATATTATATGTTGAATATGGTGTCATGTATTTAATTGGAAATTTGTATTTAAATATATACTTTTATAACTTTTTGTCACTATTAGTAATTATTCATATTATATCTTCTTTTTAATTATTTGTATCAAAGTATATGTATATATTTTAGTGTGTATGTATGTATATATATGTGTGTGTATGTTTGTGTATGTATATATGTATTAAAATAGATATATATTTTTTGAATAATGGCATCTATATTTTTTAATAATATATGTTCTTTATTCACTATATGTATTTTGAAATATTACATCTTCTTCTTTGACTAATTGAGGATGTTCGTACTTTTAATTTACACATTTTTTTTTTCTCTAATTTTATTTTTATATATTATATCTTCTCTTTTTTTTTTTTCAAAATTTTCTACTTGATTTGTTATTATTACTATTAATGTTATCATCTGTAGGGGCTCTATGAAAAGATTAGGTTGGTATATTGCGATCTATATCTTCTTTGAGCTCTGGTCTGTTTATTATTTATACATTTGTAATTATAATATATTTTTTTTGTGAAAGAGTATTATAATTTATATAAACAGCAAAATAAAATAAAATTAAAAAAAACAAACAAAAAAACGTTTTATTAATAATATTTAAAAAGTTGTATTGTTTCTATACAACTTAGATTACTGTGCAGAGTTTTACAAGCTTTCCTAGATTTGAAAAGATATAATAAAAAGTTATATCATCTGCATAAGCTTATATTTATTTCAAACATGATATAATGAAATGATTATGCAATAACATTTACACACAAAATAAAAATAATCAAACTACAAGGCTTGCAAAACCATGCTTGTAAAGCAATTCATTATCTAGGTAGAGTGGACAATCTTTCCAATGCGATGACAAATATGAAAGTCTTAAACTTGAAAAAACTTAATTTATATTAGATTCTTATTTTTATGTTCAAATATAAAAATAATATGCTACCAAATTTTTTTTTAGACATATTCTCGTCATCATTTTCTCAAAGTTATAATCTACGATCAAATAGCTTCCATAACTTTTATATTAAAAAAACTAAAACCCGGGGTTCTGAATTTTCAATTATGTCACAGGGTCCTAAAATATGAAAAACTTGAAAAATCAAAAATTAAAAGACTTAAATGGAATATCGTTGTTTAAACGGCAAGCAAAGCTGCATATTCTTAGTTTGTAAAAAAAAAAAAAAAAAAAAAAAAGTAAAAAAAAAAAAAAAATAATAAAAAAAATATATAAATAAAATGTACATACATATATATATGTGTGTGTGTGTGTATGTGTGTATGTGTATATATATATATATATATATATACATATATGTGTGTGTGTGTGTGTGTGTGTGTGTGTGTATGTATATATATATGTATATGTATGTGTGTATGTGTATGTGTGTGTGTATGTATGTATATGTATATATATATATGTATATATATATATATATATATATATATATATATATATATATATATATATATATATATATATATATATATATATATATATATATATATGTATATATATATATATATATATATATATATATATATATATATATATATATATATATATATATATATATATATGTATATAACAGTAGAAATAGTAATTACAAAGCTAATTACAAAAAATTATTTCTAATTTTATTTAATTAACTTTTTATATAGACATAGATATACGCCAAACGGCGCTATTAAGGGAATCTGCGAAAAGATTTTTTTTGGAGTTTTATACCTAAAAATGCTGAATCTTCTTTGATTTCCTTTTTTTAGGTATTAAAGCATAGAAAAAAGTAAACATATATATAATAGTTATTATACCAGAATTTATATTAAGTTTGCATCAATGCTATATTAATGTATCAAAGTTAAATTAATGTATTTTTATTAATCTGATACCTAATAATTTTATATATATTTTTTCTTTTTATCACAATAATAAATGTATGTTTTATATAGTATACCTGGAGAAGAAAAATAAATAAATAAAAAAAACAAAAAAAACAACATAATAACTTAGTTTCCATGGCCATTTTTTGATTAAACTATAAATGTTTTACAATGTTTTAGCTCTATAAAGTATCTATTTGTGGTTAAAAATCTAGAGAAACTATTTGGTTTCTTTTCATTTGAAATTTTTTTTATTGGGACAATATCATTTCAATAACCTGTACATGAATATCAATTAAAAAAATTAATTGCATTCATTAACATTCCACATAAATAGGGTTTTACTTATTTTTATAGTTTTAACCTGTGTCATGTTATCAAAATAAGTAAAACCCTACATGTTAGCTTACGATTCCATTAACAAATGTTAATGCAATGGATTTATTAAACCTGCGCACACATGAATTATTTAAGTTTATTTGTGTGAGTCAATTGTTGTGATATTCCCCATGGGGTTTGGGGAACATCAAAATTAATAATACAAGGTTTAAAGAAAAAATATTTTAATTGATAAGGACTTATTGCGTTTATACAAATATCGCGAATACCCAACAAAGATTAATTAATTTGGGGTGCAGGCATACACCAACTTATTACTCAAAGAAATACTTTCAAAATTTACCAGCTAAATATATGTTATAACTTATTATTTATGCTTAAATTTTAAAACTTTATTTTTCTTAACCTCTGATTAACCATAAACGCCAAATAAGACATTTGCAACTTCAATTTATTGCGTTAACGTCGTTTAAAATATTATACTTCTCAATCTCCGACACGTAATTAAGACGTTTAATTATTATTTAAGACATTATTTAAATTCAATTAATTTTATTTACATTCATTCTCAGTTAAAAAATATTTTACAAAATATTTCAAAATAACTCTAGCTATAAGGGGAGGTTCGTGTACCTAGGGCCGGATTTTTGCGATGCCCAAATTCAAGTCCCTAGACTTGTCTAAAAATTGAGAAAATGATGTACTCACTAATAACTTTGTATTAATATATATGTACTCACTAATAACTTTGTATTAATAATACTAAATTAATTAAGTCCATCATGTAAAAAAGTTTAAAAATTAGTGGCCCTAAGTACAATAAACTATTTTTAGTCAAACCTTGGGCCGCTAGCTATAGTACCTAGAGCCGCTCTTTGAAAATTAGGTTTGACACTATTATTAATTGACAACAAAAACGCATAAATTTGATTAAAAATTTTTTTTTAGCGAGAAAATAAGTTTCTATGCCAATCAAAGTTCAAAAATTTACCTCGTTATTAAACAAATTCTTTATTAGAGAAACGCCCATATGGCCTGAGGCACAAGCAAACTAATGGTTCTAGCTCCAAGACCTGATTGCCTCATAAAAAATGTCATCTGTTTAAAAACTTGGATTGAGAGGAAACTTATTGAGCATTGTATTTTTTACTTAAGTAACAAACAATATATTACAAATATACAAAAATTAAAATATAATATAAATATACAGGAACTTATAGAATAGCATTTTCTCTAATATTGCAAAACAATCTAAAATTTTAGCAGCAAAAATTTATTTTAGACCATCAAAAAGTGTTTTCCGATTATAACTTGCTGTACCAACGCTCTCCGAGAATAAAAATAGAAGAAAAAAAATTTATTACTAATTACCTGACTGAGAAGCATAATTTAGAACTTTATAGTTTTCAAACAAAGTGGTGTAGCCCAAGTACAAGGAGGTACACAAACTTCCCTTACTATATTAAAGCATAATTCGTTTTAAGAAAGGGTAGTTAGGTGGATAAGGTTATCTAGGAAAAAAAGCACTATAGAGTTTTTTTAAACTTTTGAAACATATGATTTAAAAAAGTTTATAGAAATTCTATAAAACTTTTTTTTATGAGTATTGATTGTAAACCGTAGTTTTTTAAAATGTAGATGATAGTTTCTAAAGATTTTCTCTAGAAAATTGTAATTTTTAATATGTTTTTTCTTGAATTTTATTAATAGAAATTAAATTTGGTTGAGTCTTTTTAATTTACAGGAATTCGATGATGATTACGTAGAAGGTAACCTATTAAATATTAAATTGCTTATTTAGCTTAGTATATATCATAGTGTTTTATATTTGTTTTTAATATTGTTTAGTATACAAAGAGGTGTTTACAATCTATGATAAAAATAAAAATGGTCAAATAGACACTCAGAACCTAAAATCTGTTATGAGATGTTTAGGATATAACCCTACTGAAGGCTGGTTGCTAGATACAACTGTTAAGTTTGACGTTGACGGTATATTTATAGATATATTTTGTATAGAAGTTTAAATAAAAAAAAACAAACAACTGTCAATAAATAAATCTAAATGTAACACTTAAATTTAAAATTGAATATTATATTTTTTTATAATTCCCTTGTTACTAAATGCGTCTTAGAGATAAACATCGTTCATAAGTTACGTTACGCATACACCCTTGTCACAACGTTATAACTCTTAAGTAACAAGTCGCGTACAAGTCATCACAAAACCACTTACTCCTCCCCCTACTCGCCTAGAGCAAAACGTAATTTATAGACAACGCTTTTATAAAACTCTTGTTTTTTTTATACATGTTTACATATTAATTTGATAGCTACACTAATCTTTAATCGAATTTTTTTCTGCTCAGAAAACGGAAAAATAAGTTACTCTGAGTTTGAAGAGTTAATGAATCAAGTAATGGAACCCATTAACGAAGAAAAATTGTTAATTGAAGCATTTCATATTTTTGAAAATCACGGCTTTGTCTCGTACAAAAGTTTGAATGACGCAATAAGAAAAGCGTTTGAAAACTCTACTTTTAATGTGGAAAGTCTTTTAGATGGCAATTCGTTAAAAATGGATTGTCAATTAAACAATGAAGGTAATAGAAAAAGTTATTGAGTATTTATACTTTTTTTGTTCTGTTTTTTATTAGTATTTATTTTACTAGGTTTTTATTAAATAATACGCATTTATAAATAGTCTTTATAGTATAGCAGAGTTTGATATACTCATCGTCTAAATTTTAGGACATCTTTAAAGAGTTTAAAACTTCTAACATAGATGTAACTCTTAATTTTTTTGAATTAATTTTTATACAATAATTTAAGGGAGTTTAGATACCCTCGTTATAAGTATAATTTTTACCAATACAAAAAACCGTTAAAAAAAAAAAAAAAAAAAATAAAAAACGAAGCAAAGAAGAGATATATCCACCTCAAAAATAAAGCTATACATTGTGAAGATTATATACGAACATTTGTTAACAACAAACATAATTTTCAATCCATAATAAATGTTACCCATAAGGCTTATGAACAAGTGTTTATAAAAATCTAGAGAAAAAAGAAAAGAAAAATTTGAAAAGTTATCTCAAGAAAAGTTGCTGCATAAACAAAACATAATAATAAGAACAAAAACCATTAAAATCAATTAAAAAAATTAAAAATTTTAAAAATGGTTAAGCCAATAAAAAGTAAAGAGAAGGAACAACAAGAAGCTCTTTAGGAAATTAAGAAAGACAATAGTAAAAAGATATAACTGTTTGACAAAAGATCTGGTCTAGAGTGAATTAATTCATTATTTAAATGAATTAAATAGTGCTTTAGCCAAAATACAAGCCATTTAAAAAAATACAATACATTTAGGCAAAAAAAACTCAACTATGATCCAACTCCACTAGTCATGTAAAGTCATTGTAAAGTTCAAAACACACTAAGAAAACTAAATAAAGCAGGTCGATTTACGGTTAAAGAAAATAAATATTTTAACCCGAGTGATGCTCACCACATTCAACTAACCACATCATTTGAATGGAGTTATAAAAGCCCACAAACCTGAAAAAACTATTCGATACGAGTTATCGAAAGCAATATAGAAACAGCTACATACCAAATTTCAAAATTCTTAACTGATATGATACAACCCATCCTTAATAAGAACAATACACATTTAAACAACTCTCAATAATTTTTAAACTTGGCTAAATATGAAATATTGACTAAATCCTAGTGTCTTTTGATATCATTAATTTTTATCCTTTAGTCACAGTAAAGGAAAGTCTTTTAGATGGCAATTCGCTAAAAATGGTTTGTCAATTAAACAATGAAGGTAATAGAAAAAGTTATTGAGTATTTATACTTTTTGTTCGGTGTTCCTCAAGAGCCGGTATTAGGACCACTACTCTTTGTTATCTTTATAAATGACTTGCCATAATTGCTTATAAATAATTAGTTCAATCTGTAAAATATTTGCTGATGATACTAAACTGCTTGCCCCAATTCGATTTAATGACGAGCAGAATGATTGTACTGTGCTCCAAAATGATATTGACGCTATAACGGAGTGGACAAGAACATGACATATGAGGCTAAACATCTCCAAATGCAAAATTCTTCACATTGGTCGCCTGAACAAAAATCATATTTATACAATGCTTGATGTCGATAAGTTGTTCGACTTAGTTTGGAATCTAGCTCATCAGAACGTGACTTAGGCATCCTAATTAGCAACAACCACAAACAAAACGCCCAGGTTTGCACTGCTATTTCTAAAGCAAACAAGATGCTTAGGATGCTTAAAAAAATATTTGTTTCCCGCAATGTAGAACTTTGGAAAAAATTATACATTGTGTATAATTCTGCTTCAAGTTGAAACCCACATACGATTAGGGATATATATGTATTGGAGAGAGTCCAAAGACGCGCTACTACGACAGCCCACAATATAAAGCATATATATATATATATATATATATATATATATATATATATATATATATATATATATATATATATATATATATATATATATATAAAGGGCACATGTCACATTTTTCCAATTATTTGAGTTATGTCCCCTACTATATACACATAAGCCTAAAAATTAGCAAAATATTAAAATCCAACCCAAAAAAGGCCTATGTAATGCTACAGAAACGTCCAAAGAAAAGGCATACAGGGACAACATAGCAACTTTCAAAGATAAAATTTCATTTATCTCAAAAGTGGAAAATGTGTGACATGTGCCTTTTTTCCCCTGCTGTCTTCATATATCAGTCACTGATAAGAATAAATATTTTCAGTGAATCAAGCTTTAAAAATCGTCAATCTATAAAAAATCTCATAAACTTTAATGTCATAAATTTGGTTTATAGCAACTTTTCACCATTGTATAAACCTTTTATAAGTATATAAAAAATACACATTTGACCGCGAGCCACACTAGAATTAAATTGTTTAATGTGTGTTCTGTAAAAAATTCCCACTTACCCAGTTTACTGAATTTTAACTAAAGTTACCCCCTCCACCCAACACCATCACCCCCACTCCGTCAACCCTATATAGCACACAAGATCCATAGTTTTAAAAAAACATCCATAGTTTTAAAAAAAAAAAAAAAAAAAAAAAAAATTAAAGACTTATTACTACAAATTAATTGCATGAAGGTGTCTATACCGTGCAAGGTGATGGAGAGAATCATCTTAGATTGGATAGATTGGTACACTGTGCATAATCTAATATTAAAGACTCAACATGGTTTGCACATCACAAAGACCGCTCACAAACCTGATTAAATCCCGTAACATTTTAACGAAAGCAGTTTACCACGAACACCTAGTTGACATTTTTAAAATACAATGTCACACTACAACTTCTTTATAAAATTGATGCCAATGAAATTTAAGGCCAGCTATTAAACTGTATTTCTATTTGGCTAGCTAACGGACAGCAATGACTAATAGGACTAATAGTTAGAAATTAAACGTCTATGTGAAAAAGACTGACAAGTGGCGTTCCTCAAGGATCATATGAGTTATAAATGTTAATGGATTTTCTCTGACAATGGAAAAATGCACGCGGACACCGACAGCGCTATAAATTGGTCGCACAACTGCCTTGTAAATTTCAACATTGAGAAGTGCAAAGTAATGCAAGTTGGTTGTCACAAAAACTAATTAATAATACCATGGCTGACATTGACTGTAACGGACGCATTCTAGTTTCAACAAGCATTAAGCGTGAGCTAAAAGCGTGTACTAAAATCTAATAACCTAAAAATCACAAGCAGCAGCTTGGGTTAGCAATTGAATGCTTGAATTGAATGCTTGGTTGCCTCAAGAAGTCATTTTGGTGTCAGAGCTCTCTAGCTATGGGAATAATTGTACGAGTTGTATATTAGTCAAAATTGCTTAACATTTACAATTAAAATTTAGACTTTAAAAACTGTTTTTTTAAGATTCTTATTCTTCTGGTTGAAAGATCAAGAACCGGTAAAAATTAAAGCTTGTGAAATAGAAGACAACTTTATGAAAGGTATTTTGCATCTTAATAGGATGAAGCAGCCTTCATTTTTTAATAGTGAAAACACTTTAGGATTTCTCAACAACACTGTCCAATCTATATACAATCTAATTCTAATTTAGCTTGTAAAATAAAAAAAATGAGTCTGTTTATTATTCCTAATCAGTGAATGTATTGCAAAAGTGTTATTAATCCAGATGTATTTCTTGAAAAAATAGATGTTATCTTACAGTATTAGAAATAAACAAACAGTCATTAACTTGTATTATACACGCTTTTAGTTTAAAACTATGGATGTTATAGGGGCGCCTAATTGCTGCTATGCCCTGGGCGTCATGAAAGCTCTCGGCAGCCCTGATTAATAGTACTATGTAATTGTAAGGAAACTCTTCTTTTTCATGTTGTTATAGATATTACTTCATTTAGTATTTTGATAGCCTGTGTGTGTGAAAAACGTCTTTGCTTTTTTTTCATTTCAGAACGTTTTTTAAGTAATATTTTACAGTATGCACCCTAAAATGGTGCATATTATAAAGTATAATTTTTATATATGCCTCCTTTTGCAGTTAAGCTAGAGAATTTGAAAATCTAAAAAGGGTTTCGATTAAGACAACCAACTGGTTTTAATTAGAACAACCTTTTATAACTTGTTTAATAGTTGATGCTACTTTAATATAAAAGTAACTCACTACGTTGGGGCAACATAAGAACAACGTTTAAAGTGTTATGCTAACGTTGCCATAACGTTGGGTTATCATGTCAGACTACATAAGAAGACTATTATTTTTTCAAGTAAGAGTTTCTTTTTCTTTTCTTTTTTTGAGTTAACAACATTTTGTTATAAATAGAAAACATAACCCTTACAATATCTTAAATAAATTGCATAAAAAAAGATTGGTGTTTCACAATTTTGAAAACCTCGTCATATCAGATATTCAGATATTCGTGTATTCAGAGGGGATTCTACAAATAAAATGAGGGGGAGGGGGTGAACCTTTAAAATGAGTGCCATAAAAAAAAAAAAGGTTGTCAAAACTAAAACTTACCCGACTTAATTGTGTCAAATACCCGACTAACCAACCAAGTTTGTAAAAAACCCAACAAACGCTCCACAAACCACCCTTTTCTTCCCTGCCCTAATATTTTTGAAGTTTTATAGAATCTTATATAAAGATGCGAGGGTCTTTATTCTTCATAAAGTTTACACATTGTTAAATTTTTAATTAATTTTGCGTTGTTGTTTTTTTTAGAATTTTGCTCTTTGTTTAAAGAAATAAAATCACGATTCGAATTATTTCAAGACGACAGTTCACAGAATCTAAAAAATTTGAGGACTTGTATCGATGAAGAAAAAATCTGAAAAACTATTTTGAATTTTTGTTTTAAACAATAAATTGACTTTTTTAAACTACAATTTGTCTATTCAAGAGCTATTTCAAACGAGATTTTGTTAGCTGGTAAACATTTTAGTAGACTTTCATATATTTATAACATAGCTTTTCAAATATATGTACAATATTGATTTTTTTAAAAACATTTTTTTATCTCAATACTACTTTTTTATATATAAAAAGACGTCATGCATTAAAAAAAACTAAATTTCTAAATGTTTATTACCAAATAATGAAATCTTTGCAAAAAATGATACAAAATTTACAAAACAAGTAAAGGCTGTAATCTTAAAAAACTTTTTTACTAACCATGATAAAATTTATTATTAACTTAAAAGAGTAATTATTTTTTTAAATTTTTTTCTTTATTATATTTTTTTTAAGGCTCCTTCTAATGTTCTTAAGCTTATTAGACATTTTACCACATTGCGCCATCTACTTATGTCTCTAGGATGTGACGATGTCACAGCATTGAACCTCTCTATCTCCAATAATATCTGTGAGGGTATGATAATGTAAAAAATTTACTCGAATAACAACTTATAAATTTATGAAGGCTTTTAAGTCTGCTTTAATTGAGCTCAAACAAAGAAAACAAAGTGTTCCAAAATATCAGAAATTATAATTTTTAAACTTTTTAGCAAAAATTAAAATTTTTTAATTTTTGCTTGAAAATTTGAAAATTATTTAAAAAGTTTTTTTACTGTGTCGCAAAAAAAAATGTTTAAGATTAAAATGTTGCAAATATTTTTATATTTATTTATTTGCCAGAATATGTGCAAGGTAAATTTACATTGAATATACTAGGTTGGTTGAAAAGTTCGCGGAGCGGAAATGAAAAAACAATTTTATGATTCAAAAAATGACTTTATTCTTCAGTATATTCTCCCTTAAGAGCAATACACTTTTTCCAACGATTCTCCAATTCATGTATCCCATCTCTGAAGTGCGATTCCGGAAGGCCTTCAAAATACCCATTTACGGCTGCAATGACTTCTTCATGTGATGAGAAACGCTTTCCACGTAGAAATTTTTTGAGATGTGGAAAGAGGTGGAAGTCGGACGGAGCCAGATCTGGTGAATAGGGTGGATGTTCCAAGCGTTCGTACTTTAATTCGACCAATTTTGCCTTTGCAACATCGCTGATATGAGCAGGTGCGTTGTCCTGGTGATAAATGATTTTTTTATGCAGCAAACCAGGTCTTTTCTCACGAATTTTTTTATCCAACTGGTCCAAAAGATTTTTATAATATTCACCTGTTATCGTTTTACCGGTTTGAAGGTAATCTATTAATAAAATTCCTTTCGCATCCCAAAAAACTGATGCCATAACCTTCTTTGACGATTTTGACGCCTTCACTTGCTTCGGAGCTGAACAACCGGGTTCTGTCCACTCTGCAGTTTGTTGTCGCAGCTTCGGATCATAGTGGTAAACCCAAGTCTCATCCATGGTTACGAATCGACGCACAAAATCTGTTTTATTCTTTTGAAAACGGGCCAAATGTTCTTGAGAAAGTTTTACTCGAGTGCGTTTCTGATCCAGAGTTAGCGAATGCGGCACCCATCTTGCCAACAGCTTTCTCAGACGTAATTCATCGTGCAAGATGTGTAATACCCGTTCATCTGAGATGCCCACAGCCTCAGCAATTTCACGTTTGGTCAATCGTCTATCATCCATAACCATGTCATGCACAGCATTAATCGTTTCTTCAGTAGTAGCACTTTTTGGACGTTCAGAGCGAGGGTCATCTTCAAGGCTTGAACGCCCACGTTGAAACTCCGCAGCCCATTTGCATACTGTTGTTTTTGAAGGAGCATCATCACCCAACACATTTACCATTTCATTATGAATTTCCATGGGCTTTAAACCTTTTTTCACAAAGAATTTTATTACAGCACGATGTTCAATATTTTCCATTTTAAAAAATACTATGACACGTCTAATTTCAATAGCTTGTAAACAAAGACTGAAATGACATATCGACTTGAAATTTTTTATGCGTTCATACGAAGAATGAATACGTTTAATACAGTTATAAATTTGTTTCTACTACTGCAACATAGGTGCCGCTCCGCGAACTTTTCAACCAACCTAGTATTACCGGTAGGACTTCTAAAAGATTAAGGGATCTTATCATGAAGCCCTTTACAATCTATATAACAACAACAACAAAAAAACTGCTAAAAAGTACTAAAAATAGATATAAATATTTTGTGTTGAAAAGATAATTTCATTTACTTTCCGTTCAAAAGAAGAATAAAACCATTTAATATAAGAAATACAAAACTGTTTTTTATTTAGTTTGGCAAACTGGCTTTTCGATACTTTTACAGGCACGAAGATGTTTGTTTTTAGGTTTCAAATTATAAAAGTTTACAAATACACAAGGTGACATATTTTCTTTACATTTAAAAATAAAAAATAAAATATTCAAAACATTTAGTTTGTAAATAATCAAAACTTTAATTTAAAATATCACAAACTAACATCCTAAAAGGATAAGAATAAGCCTTAATTAAGAATTTTTATATCTATATCTCAATATTACTTAAAAATAAGAAAAAAATTAACACACAACTTTTTTCAAAAAATTGTCCAGTTATTTGTAAAACCCTAAATACCATAGTAGCTTACCTCAGAAACGTAAGAGCAGTGGTTCAAACCCCACTTCTGGGCAAGTTTTGATACATCGGTTAGGAAAGAGGCGTGAACTTCCTATTAAATGCTCTCGCGCGGTGCTCTGTGATAAGACCGGTAAAGACTTCTTGGGGCACCTAAAAAAAAAACAAGCTTAAAGCAATTCAAGTTAGGTACTGTAAGTAGATATTATGACAATAATAAGTCAGTCAAGAATTTTTAAATCCGAAAGGATTTAAAACTCTCACGGGAAATCAAATAATTGCTCGAAAAGATGTCTAAGATTCAGGGGAAAAAATCCACTGGAGTAATTACATCAAGAATAAAGCTCAGATTGCCTACAGGAGTTAATCAATAAAGGGTGGATAAAATTTGAATAATTTTTAGTTGATCAAAGTTTTTTACTACGTATGTATTTATAAGTTTTTAGATAAATTCAGCATATTGCATTAAGAACAAAGTGGTTCAGAATGGCTGTAAGTTTGTAAGGTTGCCAGAATCAACATCACACCAATAACTTAGGCATTTGCTAAAGCGAGACTGCATATTACACAATATGTTGGATAGATTCAAGTCACATGAAATTATGTAAAATATATCTTCAACTTAAATGAAGCTTAATAGTGTCCCCAGATTTTCAGATGTTTCAGGCATACCATCTGCTACAGCAATTCTTCTGTTTTTTTATACAACCATCCTGGGCAGGTGAGCTTAATTGCAGATATGACCATTGGCGGACTGGCTGTATATATATTACCGGCCATACATATACCGCCAAGACTGCCCGGCCCGCAACTTTCTGAAAATAAGTTTTAAGAGAAACAATTATATCACATATTAATAAAATTACATTGAATCAAAAAAGTACAAGTGATGAGCAATCTAGCAATAACTATTCTTTAAACAGTTTGCGCAATTCAGAGGACGAAGATGCATATCTTTGAATGATCGTATCATACTCAAGGCTATCAAGTAGACTTTTTTCTATAGACATCAACATATACAACTCTAATTGGTCATTCGACATAGAATTCCGCAATCTTGCCTTTATTAACTTTATCCTAGAAACAATCTTTTACATTCGGCTTGTGTTACTGAAATAGCACATATTATTTTATAAATATGATACAAATTACCATAGGTTTTGTTGTTGAGTTTATATGCAACAAGAATACGTAACACACAAAATGGACACAATTCACATGCTCCATTAGTATGCTGATAACAGTGCGGTTCTTCTACGTCAACCTTTTGATCTGCATTCACTCCCAATATTGTCGTTAAGGGCAAGGACGATTTCAAAATCTCACAAATGACAATAGTTCGGCCTTTATTTTATCCACGTCGGTATCTGGTAAAAATTTGATAATGCTGTGTAAACTGTTTTCAGGAGTTCCCAAAATGGCAATATCACCAAATTTTGATGTATCAAAACATGCCATGCCCATATATATTTGTCGATGTGAAGTGAAATGTGACTCAAGACTTTAGACTATCTGATCCATCACCGCATTGTAAGTGTGAATTCTGTAGTGTTCCAAAGCTTTAGAATCGTTCACGTTTGTCAATTTTATGTTCATCAAACATCATTGGTGTATTCCGCTTCCATTTAACTGGTAGTTCTATCTTCGCCTCTAATATGGTTTCACTTCTCTGAATAATGATTGCGTTTACGATCCGTACAAATTGAAGAGCGTTACTATGAATATCATCAAAAAGTCTTGATTGACTTTTCAATTCAATTGCGGCCTTCTCCACCATCTTAAATGCAACCAACATATTTAATTGCAGGTACATTGAAAGCCCCACTTTTTTGTCCTATTGGGCATATTAGTAAAACTTAAATCGGAAATCAGCGTAGTTAAACTACGCTGAGATGCTTTAAGATGATTAACACAAAAATTGTTATTTATGTGTTACATAAACAGTTATGCTTATTTAAAGTTACAGAAAACTTGATCGTCCGGAAAATTATTTTATCCTCTACCTTTCAAAACTATCATTTCAGCCGATTAGTATGATTGGTAGCCTTTAAATAATTATTTCGAGCGCGGAAGTTGATTAAGTATTTTTGATAAGTTTTAGATTAAACAAAGATAATAATTTTTATATAAACTAAAATATAAATCTCAAAAGAAGACAGCGTCACTTCAGTAAACTGGTAAATCAAGTGTGTTTTTCATTTCTTTTTTCTTTATGACAACATTTGACATTGTGAAAAATCTGTTATTTTTTTCAGAAATTTTCAAGTTTTTGCCGCATGTTTTTCTCAACAGCTCTTTTTTCATAGAACTGATACAGGAACTTTCACACCAAATTTTGAAAGATTTATACTGTTTTGATCTTGGATCAATATTTTTCAATGTTTTCATTTTTTAAAGTATATAATAAATATCTATTTCAATAATTTTAAATAGATAACTATTATCAATTTTGTGACATTGTAAAAATGGCAATAAACAAGTTCACACATTTAGAAAACCCTGATTAAGTTATTCTCGTGATACTTTTTTTTACAAACAAATGTTGTTTTATATTTAAAAAACGGCAGTATGTCACCATCTAACCGCCAAGTTCATGCAGTACTTTTTTTAACATTCGTGAAGTTAAATCGACTGTTAGTGAAAGCGCATATCGTCATTTAAGAGTGTTATATATGTTGAGGGAAAAAAACGCAATTTCGCCATTTAAGAGTGAAATTTTGAAAAAAAAGCTAGAGTCTCTAATAGAACTATATCTAACTGTGTAAAAAAGTTTGTAGATTTCACCATGTTTGGAGAGAGTTGCAAAAAAATTCCAAAAAAAACAACAAGATGTGTACTAATGCGTAGAGGAAGACTTTCAAAACCATTTATATAATTTATTCAATATAGCACATGCTGATACTTTGAAACGGATTAAAATATAAGAAGTTAAAATATTTTTAGGAAAACAAAGAGAACCATGTTTAACTAGTGTATAAAAAAATTAGACAAAAAGGAAGAAAAGGTAAGACAGAGAAAATTAAAAAAAGACAAAAATAGACTTAAGCAAATGTGTCTTGGGAGTTTATCGTCATCAATTACTACACAAAATTTCATACAAACGCAAGAATATCAAAGAACTAGAAAGAAAAGATACAAATCTTTTCTTTCTTACAAAGAAGTAGAAAGAAAAGATAGAGTGGAATCTATAAAATCAGGTTTTAAGAATATTATGCCTAAAATTGTGACCATTCATTGAGATGGAAAATTATTACCTGGAATAGACATAAGAATTTCTAAAGAAGAACGTCTGGCAATTTTAATATTATTTGATGAAAAAGAACAACTGCTGGTTGTATCCAAATTGGAGAGCTCTTCCGGTCAAAATTAAGCTGAAGCTGTTATGACTGGAATTTTGATGACAAAGTACAAATAATGTGCTGTGACACAACAGGATCTAATACAGGGCCATTCAAAGTGCTTATGTACTTTTGGAACAAAAACTAGACAGGGAATTACTAATTTTTGCTTGCCCCCATTATGTTTACGAACTGGTTTTAAAATGTTTGTTTGAAGCAAAGCAACCAACCAAGTCACAAGTAGCCCTGATATCCCAATGTTCAATAAGTTTAGAGTCAAATGAAAAACTATTGATGATGAAGTTAATGAACAAAACAAAATTACAATTTTATCACTCTTTGATGATGAAGTTAATGAACAAACCAAGGAAAAAATTGCAGTGAACTTACCAAGAGAGAGAGAGTATGCTTAATTACGGGAAAAGATTTCATCAATAGAAGATATACACTAATCGACATATATTGCGGTTTATTACAACATATTGCAATATTATTGCGCGTTCAATTTAAATTGCTATATATTGCTCAATTAATTGTCCAATAAAATATCAATAAAATTATACAAATGTAATGCGTTTGTAAATGTAATTTAGATGCATTTAAATATAAATAATTCTGATGCTTATCTAATTGCCTGTGTCATTTTTTTGTTTTACATAAATTTAATGGGTTTACAAGCAGTAGCAAGATTGTTGTTAAAATATTACAATATAATTGCAATATAATTGCAATATAATTGTAATATTATTGCAATATTATTGCAACTAATATTAGGTAATCGATTTTATGATTGTAACTGAAGTTACAAGCATGCTTTCATTGGACTTTATACTGCAGTGTAAGTGCGGCCAGGCAGGTTTCTTCGGCGCACGTTAGACATGGCTTGCATGAGCCCAGCAAACCTGTCTGGCCACACAAGATACCCGTGCAAAAATAACATAGTTATTTATAAGTAAAGACTCATAAAATTTTATTAATGGTGAATATATGTGCAATGAACGAAATTTTTTTAATAGAAAGTACGAGAGAAGAACTTTACATTATACGGCTGAGTCTACTTCTTCTGAAGAGGAAATTACTAATAGTAGTTCTCAGTCCGACTGTAGCAATACAGATGATAATGTTAATGATGGTAGTTTTACCCAAGAGACAGAAGAAATTGTATCTATAGTATCTGAGGAAGAAAATCAAATTCTAGTATCTGAGGAAGAATCGAGTGCTTCCATGTTTCAGTTCTTTAGTTCTAATCCATTTGAATGTTCTTTATTGGATTCAATTGTTAACAAAAAGTTTATGTTTTTAACCTTGTTGTATTTAATGATTAGCAATTCATTTACTGAAATCGCATTTGATAGATTTTTGAAGACTTTGCTGGTATGTTAGATGTAGTTTAAATTGTGCAATGTACTTGTAAATAAATATTGTGAAGCTAATAAAATTATCAATCAACTTAGTCCTTAGCAATAAATGTTGATCTGGCTATTTATCTCTGGCTGCTACCAGAAATGGTGCACATTGCCAATAATTCGTAAAAAAAGTCTGATAAAGTAATGCAGAACGTTCCTAATTATAAAACATTTTAATTGTGAAAATTTTATCCGACTTTTTTTACAAATTATATATTATATAATATTTTACAATTATATATTATATATTTTATATCTATAGTTTTTACAAATTATTTTTTTTACAAATTATTAAATTATAAAAATAATGAAGTATGTCATATTTTTATTTCAACTTGAGGCTGGGGTCTGGCCCAGGCTTAGTTTGGTTGATAAAGCTTGAAAAAATATATTTTTAATTTTTAAATTTTTTTAATAGATTTTTCGCTGTATAAATGACATGCCGTCATCTCATAAAATGATTCGTAGATTTGTTACTAAAAATATATTCTCCCATACTGAACCAACGCATAAATATTATTGTCATAATTGCTGCACAGCTTTAGTTGACACGTGTAAAATAAATACTCATTGTTCATCCCATATCTTTATATTGGATATCATAATGGTGAATTTGGATGTCACTATTGCGAACATCCTGGTAGAACAATTGAAAGAAAACATGGTTCCGCTAGAATTTATTCACATTCAGATACAAATTATAATCTTAAAACATCTGAAATGTATGCCATATATGCTAGATTAGCCGAAAAATCAAAAGTATCTGTATTTGGAATTAAAGGCTCAAACATCTTTAGTGACATTTCATTTATTAAAGTGCCAGATATGATACTTATTGATGTGTTACATTTGTTTTACGAAAATTGCTCAAAAAAGCTTTTAGTTTGTTTATTTTCTGTTACCAATAAACACGAATCATTTTTTATTGGTAGTGCAAAATTAAATGCTATGGAAATCTTACTTGCTGATCAAAAAATGCCACATAACATGCCCAAGCCATTAACTATTAAATCATTCACACATTGGAAAGGCCATGACTTTAAAAACTTTATTTTATACTTAGCAGTTCCATATTTTTTACCATATTTGAATCCTGACTGCATGATGATGATTTATTCTCTAGTAATTGGTATGCGTTTGTGTAGCAGTGAAATATGTTTAGATAAGGTGTTGCTTATTAGTCAGCTGTTTAACTTTTATCAAAAATCATTGTCTGAGTTGCTTTCTTTATATATGAATACTATAAATGTTCATTTGCTTGGTCATGTTAGCGATATTATTAAAATGCATGGAAGTGTTACAAATTACTCAATGTTTTGTTTTGAAGCTCGGCTAAGTAATTATAAAAAAATGATGAAGGGAACACATGGTCATCCACAACAGATTGTACAAAAATTTCTTGACTTCAAAACAGCTTCTTGTTTTTTGCAAACAACAGATCATCCTAAAAAAGTTGAAGTTTGTAAAGCATTAAATATTGGCATTATTGAACAAGAAGAATTGCAGTTGTTAAATCCGGGCAGATTGTTGAAACATGGTATTGTTTACCATTCAAAAGGTTATGGCAAACATAACAGCTACACTTGTCAATTTGGACATAATAAGTTTGGTATCATATTAGATTTTCCTTTAGTTGACAATGTAATACATGTTCAGTTACAACTATTGAATGTGAAGTGTAAGTTAGTTTCTACTTTTGGTGATATGATTGGAAGTTTGGAAATTAACTTTGATGATGACTTTTTTTTTATTGTTGAACAAACAAAAAACATTGTTGTTATTTCAGCTGACACTTTAGTCTGCAAATGTATATTAATTAAAAGTAAATTAAATACAAAAGATGTATTAATTTTGACACCATTGAAAGAACTTTTCGAATATGCTTAGGGTGGCTAAATGTAAATTTTGTAATTAATAAATATGCTTCACATCATGCATGTGTGTTTTTTTATACTAACAAACATTTTTGTTTTTAATATTTTGATAATTTGATTTAAAATAATTTGATAATTTGATTGAATTTTTTTACAGGTTTATATTTTATTAAATAATGACTTACCCTGATAGAAATAGAACAAAGAAATTAGATTTTGTAGACACTCAAAAGCTTTCTTCTACGTTTGTTCTTTTATGGTACAAGGATTGTGAAAAAGATGAGCGGCATACCTCTCCCATATCACTTTCAAATACACTTTTTAAGCATTATTCATCCTTTGAATGCCTTGAATTTCAAGTGGTAAGTGTGTTAAAAAAAACTGACAGCATTTACCATACATAATATAATTAAAGTCCACCCTTAAATTTTATCCCCCCTCCCTATAATTGACAAAGAAGATAAATTTTGTTTTGTTTTTTTACATACCAGCTATTAGCTGAATATATCAGCTATCAGCTATTAGCTGAATATATAGAAGCCCACCTTAAAATAGAAGCAAGTATTTTAGATGCCCACGAATAAGATAAAAATGTTTTTTTTGTTTTTTTACATAGCTGAATATATAGAAGCCCACCCTAAAATGGAAGAAGTATTTTAGATGCCCACTTTTTAGGGATGTTGAAAAATGGAAGCCCCTGCTTTTATTATACTATTTATGGTGTGTTGATAATTAAATTTAATGTTTTTTACTTATTAGAAAAATGTAGTGCATGTTTCTATTGCAAATATACAACACGCAGCTGTCATCATCTATAAGGGGTCTATTACCCAATGCTGTAAATTTGAAACATTGCTAGATAACTTCATGGACGATTTTGGTGATGAAAATCCTAGCACTGATGAAGTAAGCAAGTTTGCCCTCAATTATATTGAAGGCAATACTGACGGAAAAAGAAAACATTCTGATGGAGACCAATCCTCAGGTAACTTATGTAATATAAATATGTGACAATGACAAGACAATATTATAGTAATTTTATTTAAAATTTACTCTTCTGTGTAGTGGTGAACTGGACCATGGTGCCGGAGTGCAATAGCACTCTGGGTCAAAAAAAAGGAGGTTACCTTTGTTACCAGACAGAGTTTAGTTATTATGTCTGCTACACAAGTAATAATTAATTAAACATTTTTGCTAAATAATAAAAAATGACACAAAATTCACACAAAAATTATCAACACAAGTTAAAGTTGCACTATCCGATGGTAGGTGGGGATCTATTGGATCCACTAGTAGCCTAGCCCCTAGTACACCCATGATTATATGTTTGTAACCACAACTTGTTCATGTTTTTTTTTATAGATTCAGAGAATATTGCACCGGTCTCAGAACATACAGGCCTAAACGGACCTAAATATAAATCGACTCCTAAATCAAAGGTGCTGAAAAAAAAACATGTAAATGAAGTGTTGAATGAAAATTCAGGTAATTTTAATAATATTACAATTTTGTTTATGTAATTTCTTGAACATATTTTTATTGTCTTTTTCATTTATAGAATCAGAGTCCTTTGCATCATTTTATAACAGTCAAAAAGGATCTAAAAAAAGCACAGATTATGGCTTTGGAAAAGCGGAAGCTTGACATGCTACTTGACAATGTTGATGCTCCCAGAGCATTGATGCTTCCAATAATTAGTGATGTTCCTAAAACAAAACACTGTGGTTCACCGAAGTTAAGCAAACTATCTTGTTTAGAAGGTTAGTTACAGTCCTATAGTATGAATACTGTGTTTGCCTAAGTTCTACCATATTGTACTTATACATAGAAGTGCTATATATTTTTTTTAACATTAGCAATTTTGATTGAACAAAAGAAACTTCTTTTTGAACAAAAGAAGACCAACAAACTGTTGTCTGAAATTTTGCGCCCAATAGAAAAAGAATCTGTAAATAATGATAATGTAAGTCAATTTAATTTTTGTAATTTAATTAAAAAAAGCTCATCCAATGAGAGCACAACTTGCTAGTATTTACCAAATTGAATAAAAGAAATATTGATTGCTAAAGGAAAGGTACATTTATATACAAAAGGTTGCATAATTTGACCATCCATTGAAAAATGTTTACTAAATCCGAACTTATCTGTATTATACTTTTTAGGCCGTGTATACTGGTTTTGATGCCGAATTTAAATTGCACGACATTCAAAAACGAGAACCATGTAGCTTTGCAAGAAAATTTATTTTGTTGCGATTCGGAAAGGAGTTTACTTGCACGTGTATTTGTGAACCAAACGGACCTACTGCACGCATTCATATGGAGAATGAAGAAATTCAGGAAGTTAAAGGTGCACTTGACAAAGTGTTTACGTCTTACAACTGGCGTGTTGTTCGGGCGAGTATTAATCAATTTTTCCGAGACAATAAAAGTAGTACAAAAGTTTGAAGACTAAACAAATGAGTGACATTTTTCTTGTGGTGTGGGGTTGTCAGCGTTTTTCGCTTATCCCCCCCCCCCCCATTCTATCTGTAATGTGTTTTGTATGTTTTGTGTGTTAAATAAATACACCATCTTATTTATTCTAAATTTAGTTGTTTATTTAATTTTTTAAATTCGAATTTAGTATGAATTGAAAGTGTACATAAATGTTTCTTTCAAATGTCAACTTTCAGCGCTGCTGCTAGACGATAATAAAATTGCAAAGAGTTTTATTGTCAATATTGCGAGATTATTGCCCAATATAATTGCAATTTTATTGCGAGATTATTGCCCAAGATATTGGCCAATATTATTACAATTTTATTGTCAATATTGCAATATTATTGCCCAATATATTGCCAATCCATTGCAAGTTATTGGCAATATTGGCCAATAAAATTGCAATATTATTGCAATTAAAAAATATATATATTGATTAGTGTATCTGGTTATTTGTATAGTAAATAGGAAAATATAGTATTATTTTCTATACAGTTTTCACTAAACTAATAATAATACTGCTATATTAATTTTTGCAGGAAAATTATTAAGTGATTTTGTGTCCGTCAAGAGCACTAATTTATTTTTTCGAATAAAAATTAATCAGAGCTTCCTCCAGAGACGTTGCCTATTTGAGGCAAAAAAAAATTCTTACCCTTAGAGCAATTAACAATGGAGCTGAAAGAGCATTAAAACTTATTGAAGGTTCTCATGGTTTGATCACTGCGAAAAAAAAAGAAGTAATTTTTGCTACGTTGTATGCAAGAGCGTAGAAATTTGTATCCAGATTGTAAGAGTTTCTCAAAAGAAAATATACTGTCTGTTTTGTTAATTTGCACTCTTTTACCAAATATGTTTTTATTGACTTAGTTACACAGCAAAATCCAAAATTCTTGTTTTGAGCAAAAAAAGTATTAAAACAAGAAAAAAAATGACTTGTCCGCCACGTAAGAATATTTTTTCTTGTTTCAAGAATTTTTATTCTTAATAAAAAAATTTTTTCTTGCTTTAAGAATTTTTATTCTTAATATAAGAACTTTTTCTCTTGTTTCAAAAATTTATATTCTTAAAATAAGATTTTTTTTTCTTATTTCAAGAACTTATATTCCTAAAAATTATGTATTTTTTTCTTGTTTCAAGAAAAAAATACTATTATATTCCTTAAAAAAAAATCATTTTTTACTTGTTTCAATGTTATTTTTATTTAAAATAAGATTCTTTTTCTATGGAAAAAATGAAACATTATTTTGAAATTAGGATGATATATAATAAGAATATTCAAAAAGCATTTATACATTTAAAAAACAAATTTAATCGTTGAAATAACAAATTGTTTTTTGGAATGTTTTATTATTATTTATGCTTGTAGCGGCAATACTTCTCCCATATCCATGACAAGTGTATTCCAATAAGTTCCATCACGAAGTCAGAAAATAAAAAACTTCATAAAATAATTTTTTGTCACACATAATAATCACTTCGTCTCCATAGTACCGATAAATCTCCTTTTTAGTGATTTTTAAACGAGCTGAAAGCCTTTTTGGATGTCGTCTGTTACGTACAGATAAGGAATTTTTAAATCTGAAAATAAATTTTACAACTCAAAATTTATATATATATATATATATATATATATATATATATATATATATTATATATATATATATATATATATATATATATATATATATATATATATATATATATATATATATATATATATATATATATATATATATATATATATATATACATATATATATGTATATATATATATGTATATATATTAGGGTGGGGCATAAAACACCTAAGTCAATAAAAAAAATACCATAATAGTTTTTCTGGTTCCTTTTGATATCTGTATTAAAAATGTATAATTTTTTTTTTTTTTATGGGTACTCCTATGGTCGGTCCCAGCAGTCCAAAATTTTGAAAATTTCTACTTTTTGTAAATAATGAGGGGGGCTGGGTCACTTACAAATATTTAAAAAATATCTTTAAGGTTATTTTTGTAGCCTGATAAATCTAATTTAAGATTATTTATTTTTTTATTGCAAAAAATGAAATGAAATGGTCAGCCCTACCCATTTAAAGACGTGCTGTGTATATTTGGGAGTTAGGGGGGAGGAGTTCAGTTAAAAAAAATCTGTAATTTTTAAAATTTTCATTTAAGTGTAAATAAAAACAATGTCAACAAGCAATGGTTATGGTAAAAAATCTCACTGTGAAGTTTTTCTTGTTGGAAAAAGAATCGGAACAATACCTATCACACAATTGCCAACTAAAAGAACTGTATTGCAATATTACCATTACAGAGATCTTATGCTAAGAGCTGATTTTCCAAACATTTCATCAGTTAGTATAGCTTCATGTCCACTTGATGATTTCTTTACTGCACAATGTGCTGAAATAGGTGGTTGTCTCCAAAAATGTTTACCACGCGTCCTTTACGAGGTAAAGAAAATTTGGCAAAAAGCAGGAATTCCTTTTGTTAATACTGACAAGCATATCAGGTTTTTATTATATTAAAATGCTTTTTAATTTTTAGTTTTATCCATTTTAAAATTGGTATTGTACAAGTAACAATTATAAAGTCATAAAATTTTATATATTTATAATAAATTACAACAGTTTTAATGCATTCTTTTACTTTTGTTTTAGAGACAAGATTGTTGACTTAAAAAAGAAGAGAAAATATTTAAACAAACACAGGAACCGTTTAAGTAAAATTTTAGTTTTAAAAAGAGAAACTTTTTTAAGAATGCTAGAGGATGTAAGTCAAAACAATTGAAAACTAGAAGAGAAGATGTAGATTTTCTTAACGACCAGAAAGGAGCGCGTGTTCAGAAAATGTTGGGTAAAGATAAAATTTCACAAAATATTGTAAAAAATAAAAAAAAATGAGAAATGAAAAAAAAAAAGTCAAAGTATAAGAGAGTCTATAAGAAAACAGAGAGAGTTGGTTACTGAGAAATTTGATGACACAATGAAAAATTTAAATACTTTAGATAATGACCAAGATGAACAGTATCTACAGTCTTCTATAAAAATTAAAAAAACTAATGCTGTTCCTCTTATAGTTCCTAAAAATATAGAAAAAGATTTAGCTCCAACAGCATTATGATATGGAATAAGTTCGACTGCACTGAAGCAAGAGTTGCACTGCAACTCTTGCTTCTCTTATAAATAACAGTTCAGGAACAACAGATGATTTTTCTATTTCTAAACGAAGTATTTTGAGGCAGAAAAAATCAAGTATAAGTACAACGTCCTGTAAAATTAAAAACTTTTTTTTATTGGCTAAGAGTAAAAGTCTTACCATGCATTTTGACTCCAAAATTTTGGTAGAACTGAGAGAAATTGGTTAAAAAAAAGGTGAAAGATTAGTTGTGCTAATCAGTTCACCATATCTTTCAGAATCCCAACTTTTGAGTATTTTAATTGTGAAAGATGGCACTGCTGAGTCTCTTGGGAAAGCAATCAAAAAAACTTTACAAGACTGGAAGCTATTTGACTATGTTGATTGTCTGTCCTTTGACACCACAGTCACAAATACTGGTTGGCTAAAAGGAGTCTGTACTCTTATTGAGCAGTGGAGAGGAAAAGCTTTGATTTGGATGGCTTGTCGTCATCATGTCTACGAATTACATATAAAGGTAAATATTGAAAAGAAGTCATAAAATATATTTATATTTATTTATTTATTTAATATTTCTCGATGAATTTAATAACGATTCACCTTATTATTAAAATTTAGTTGAGTGATTTGAAATAAATATATTTTAGCACTTTTCAAGTTTTCTTACTGGAGGTAAAACAAGTGGACCAAAGACTGAGTTATTTGAAAGGCTAAAGTGTAATTGGAAATCGATTTTTGAAAAGAAGATAAATTATGATAACCTAAAGAGATTCGACTCAGAAAAAAAAATTAAATCTTTTTTGGAAAAGCAGGTTGGTTTGATTGTCCTAATTAGATTAATCTGTTTGATTATAAGTTTTAATAATAAACTTTCTTTATTTTTTATTTTAGGCTTCTGAATCATTAACATTCCTTCAAAATTGCCTCGATAATGATATATTTCCAAGAAATGACTACAAGTATTTTATACAGTTAGCAGTTCTTTGGTTAGGTGGCAAAGTAAAAGATTTTCACTTTAGATTTCCAATGGCTTCACATCATGCCAGGTTTATGGCACAGGGCGTTTATTATTTAACATACGACATTCTAAAGCCACAATTTAGTAACTTATGTCCTGATATAATATCATTACAAGAGGGAAAGCTGATTTATGAAATTGGTTCATTTACAGCACTATTTTATGTTCCATGGTTTATTAAAGCTCCTATCCCTGCCATAGCACCTTCTTTAGATCTAAAAGCCATTAATGAAATGATACAATATTTTGAATTATGTCTTAAACCAGCAGAGGCCGTACTAAAGTCACTTGAAAAACACAATTGGTATTTAAATGAAAGATTTGTGGTTATGTGTCTTGCTGATAAATGCTTACCTGTAGATCAGCTACATAAATTAGCTCTTAAATTAGCTCAAACAGCAAAGCCTACCAGTTATAAAATGAGAAAACTAAGTTCAGAAATTTTTACTGACAATGAAAAAAAAATAACAAAAAGAATTGAAGATTTTATTGGTCCTGAAAGCTGGTTTTTCTTTGATTTACTTAAAATGACATTACATGAGACAGAATGGCTGAAAATCAGTTCATCAAACTGGGAAACATGTTCAGGTTATAAAAGATTTAAAAATTATATCACTGGTCTTCTTGTTGTAAATGACAGTGCAGAATGGCAATTAAACATGGTCGAGACTTTATTGAAACTTTCCGAAATGAAGAAGATAACCAAGCTAATTTACTGGTTGTTGCAGATCATCGTCTAAAATTTCAGACAACAGAAAAAAAATCTTGGTTGAAAGCATTAAAATAACTTTTCTTTAAAAAATAAATACAAATGTAAAATTTTTATTTAAAATTGTAAGAAAAAAATTTTACCTCCCCCCCCCCCACCTCCCAAATATACACAGCATGTCTTTAAATGGGTAGGGCTGACCATTTTATTTTATTTTTTGCAATAAAACAAAATGTATTCTTAAATTAGATTTATCAGGCTACAAAAATAACCTTAAAGATATCTTTGAAATATTTGTAAGTGACCCAGCCCCCCTCATTATTTACAAAAAGTAGAAATTTTCAAAGTTTCGGACTGCTGGGACCGACCATAGGAGTACCATAAAAAAAAAAATTATATATTTTTAATACAGATATCAAAAGGAACCAGAAAAACTATTATGGTATTTTTTTTATTGACTTAGGTGTTTTATACCCCACCCTAATATATATACATATATATATATATATATGTATATATATATATATATATATATATATATATATATATATATATATATATATATATATATATATATATATATATATATATATATATATATATATATATATATATATATATATATATATATATATATATATATATATATATATATATATATATATATATATATATATATATATATATATATATGTAAAAACTTGATTTAATTCTTTTTTCGTCATGGCTAATGATTTTATAACAAAAGATTTTGATAAGTTGCGTTTTGACTTTTTTAAAACTAAAAATAATATCTTTGCGAATGATTTATACGACGATGATTTATTTATTTTTAATGGACCTGACTCTCCATACTTTGATACTAAAACTTTTAAAGCTGAACTTCATAACAATATAGACGAGTTTACGGTAATACACATAAACATCAGGAGCTTAAATACAAATATTGATAAGTTAAAAATTTTCCTTTTCGAATGCAAATATTCCTTTAGCATGATTTGACTTACAGAAACTTGGTGTTCTGACGAAAATTCTTAAACAAATTCAAACCTCCTAATCCCTAATTATAATCTTATTTCTTATGAAAGAAAAGCTAACAAAAGAGGAGGTGGAATAATAACCTACATCCATAATGACTTAAACGCAAAAATTAGAAATGATCTTTCTATTTCTGATTCAAATAGTGAGGCCTTTACAGTTGAAGTCATTAATGATACTACAAAAAATCTCTTAATATCCTCTTGTTATAGACCGCCCGATAGAGATATTATAATGTTTTCAAGTTTTATGAAACAAATATATACAAAAAGCAATGTTGAACATAAAAAGCTATTCTGTATTGGTGACATGAACATAAATTACCTAAGCTATCATGAACACGCTAATACCAAAATTTGTTTCGATGATATGATACAACATTACATTTTCCCAATTATAAACAAACCCACCCGGGTAACTCCCACCTCAATTACAGCTATTGACAATATATTGACAAATTCAATTCAAGATCCATCCTTAAAAGTAGGAAAAATTAAAACGGATATATCTGACCACTTCCCAATTTACTTCTCACTATCACAACAAGCAACACGTGTCAATAACTTGAAAATAAAAATCATCAAAAGAAGCATAAATAAATTCTCGACCCAAAAACTAAAAGACTCACTAGCGGTAGTAAATTGGTCAAAAATATATCATGAATGTAACCTCGGACGCACAAATTCCGCTTACAATAAGTTTATAAATATTTTCCTAAATCTCTACAATAAACATTTTCCAAAGGTCGAAAAAGAAATTAAAGCAAAATACCTAACCACTCCATGGATTACCAAAGGAATAAAAAAATCGTCAAAACAAAAACAAAAACTCTACATAAAATATTTAAAAAATAGAAACGATATTAATTTGTCTAAGTATAAAACAATATAAAAATCTATTTGAAAAAATAAAATTAAAATCCAAAAAACTATATTTTTCAAAACAAATACAAAAATTTAAAGGAGATAATAAAAAAATCTGGGATATTATAAAAGAAATAATTGGTAAAGATAAAAAAAACTCGAACCAAGTACCTCCAAAAGTTCTTATAAGTGAAAAAGAGTTTAATAATAAAAAAATTATCTCTGAAAAATTTAACAAATACTTTGCAAGTATAGGTTCCAAACTCGCCTCTAAAATTCAACCTACAAACAATTCATTTGAGAATTACATCGAGGACTCTCGTTGCTTCATAGTTTGTAAAGAACTAGAATACGAAGAACTTGAAACAGCAATTAAAACATTAAAAATTAACTAAGGTCCAGGTATCAACAATATCCCAGCCAATATTATTTTGAATGTCTTCCCAGAAATAAGTAAACCCATTTTTCAGATAATTAACTCTTCAATAATTACAGGAATTGTACCCGACTATTTAAAAATAGCTAAAATTATTTATATATATAAATCCGGAGATACATCTTCCTTAAATAATTACAGACCAATATCAATCCTTCCCCTATTTTCAAAACTGCTCGAACGAATAATCTACAATCGTTTATATAAATACCTAACCACAAACAAAATCCTGAATGAAAACCAATATGGTTTTCAAACTCAGCACTCGACAGAGCATGCTATCGTAGACCTAGTCAATAGAATTAGTGAATCAATCTATAAAAAGAAGTTCGTATTAGGAGTCTTTGTAGACTTGTCAAAAGCGTTCGACACAATAAATCATGAAACTTTACTAAAAAAGTTGGAAAAATACGGATTAAAAAGCCACTGCAGTGGTTTACAAAAGCCACTGCAGTGGTTTACATACACTGCAGTGGTTTAAAAGTTACCTGTATAACAGACAACAGTGTGTTATTACAGATGATAATTACCACAGTAAGTTATTAAAATTAACTTGTGGTGTTCCTCAAGGTTCGATTCTTGCTCCTCTTTTGTTCCTAATCTATATAAACAACCTTCCAAAAGTTTCTAGCAAACTTGAATTTATAATGTTTGCAGACGATACAAATTTATTTTACTCTTCGACAAACATCAAGGATCTGTATGATAATGTAAACATAGAACTCCAAAAATTAAATATATGGTTTAAAACAAATAAGTTATCCCTAAACATAGAAAAAACAAAATACACTTTATTTCACTCAAACCAACAAAGAAACACACTACCAAATATTCTACCCTCTCTAAAAATAGAAAATATAGTAATTGAGAGAACTCACGAAACTAAATTTTTAGGAGTTATAATTGATGAAAATTTATCTTGGAAAAGTCACATAAATGCTTTAAACACTAAAATATCAAAAAACATAGGTCTGCTTTATAAAGCAAAACTTATGCTGTCGCAAAGTAATTTAAAACTTATATATTTCTCTTTTATACATAGCTACCTCATATATGCGAATATAGCTTGGGCGAGTACGCATTTAACCAAATTGAAAACTTTATATCGACGTCAGAAACATGCTGTAAGACTACCATAAAGATCTACCATAAAGACAAATTTACACACACTGAACCCTTATTTAAAGAAATGAATGTGCTTAATATTTATCAAATTAATATTTACCAAAATATATTGTTTATGCTAAAATTTAAATTAGGTCAAGTACCAAACCATTTTTTAAATAACTTTTTTATAAATAACATTAACAAATATAACACAAGAGAAAAAGGAAACTTTATTACACCTTTTAAAAAAACAAAACTTTCCCAGTTCTCAATTTCATATCGGGGTCCTTATTTATACAACAAACTAGTAACTAAAAATAAATCAATTTGCAATCTAGATTCAATTTGCAATCAAAATTCCTTGAAAAAAAAGTTAAAAAATCTGATACTGAGTCTAAACAGATACTCAGAATTCTTCTAAGACTATAAATTAAAATACATATATATTAACTACAAAGTGAACTGACTCGTTTATGTGTATTATCTAAATGACTCTTACCTTTCTCAAACAATATATCAAAAATTGTTTATTACACACAAAAAAAACACTTGATTTTTTCTTATCAAGTTTAGTTATTATGCTGCTTGTTATGTCTAATATTTTATACTGAGCTTATTTTGAGTTTATTTTCTATTATGAGCTTAATTTAATGAATATATAAATATAGTTGTACTTAATATATAATTATACTTAACATAATCATAATATATATCAAACACATTGTAAGGGCTTCGTGATAAGATCATTACAATCTTCTTGAAGTCCGGCCTGTACTACCTAATTATAAAAATCGCTATATATTTTGACTCACGAGACTTGTAAATATTACAACTTTTAATTTACGAAACGTGTAAATGTTATATGTACGGCAAATATATAAAAAAAAAAAAAAAAAAAAAAAAAAAAAAGCTTTTTAAATTTAAAACCTCCACATCTAAAGTTACATCTCTGGCTTGCAGAACTGTGTTTCTGTAATTGATGCTTGTTAGAACTTTAAACCAAGTGCTTGCGAGTATAATGCACTCAAATGAACCCAAGTATTTCTCAATACGTTTGATATCTGATCGAGTCTCGGCAGTAAGATTTAGCTTCTTTAAGTCTTGGATAGCACTCTTTAAACCAGGAATATGTTCTGCAAAAGGTTTTACACTTTTAATTCTGGCTAACCAACGTGTATTTGACATGCTATGCAAAGAGCATCCAATGTTTTTTTTTTAAATTTGCCATCTTTGCGGGCTTGAGCTGAACAAGTTATAAGTTTTTTGCACAACACCGAAGAAGTTTATAACCTCTGCACAGCACTCTGCGGCATGGACACCACACAGATTTAGGCTATAACAAGCACATGGAGTATAAATTGCCAATTGATTCTCTTTAATTATCCCTGCTTGTGCTCCTTTATATTGACCGCTCATGTAGCTACCGTTGCCATAAACTTGACCACGACAGTCTATCATTGGTATATTGTGTTTTTTAATAACACTGCAAATTAATTCAGCAATAGCTTTCCCCGTTTTCTGATTGCAGTCAACAAACTCTAGAAATCGCTCTTGAACTTCGTAGAGACTATTTTCTTCATTTAAATAAACATAACGCAATATAAATACAGTTTGCTCCATATGTGTTGAATCAGGGGTTGCATCAACAAGTATTGAGTAAAATTTTGCTGCTTCTCGTTCACTTAGAATAACGTCTAATACTTTTTTGGCACAACACTTTACAAACTCATTTTGTATTTCCGGTGAAAGATAATTTGATTGTTGTCCTCTCTTCAATTTCTGCGACTTCATCACTTTGTTCAGATGGTCTTTCAAGACAAAATCGTAATGACTCAAGAGCTCTAAAATGCCCAAAAAATTGCCATTTGCTGCAACTCCAACTAAATCACTTGTTCCTTTAAATCCCAAACCTCGTTTGGCTAGAAACAATGTGACATCTAAAATTTGGCGAAGAACCTGTTTCCACTGTGATGCTTGATTCTTAATGGTCTGCAGCAGCATACTATCGACAGTGAAGTTAGAGTCAATACTTTTTTCCAATAGCCGCCATTTAATATAACAATATTTATGGTTGCTGCTGTTTTGATGCTCTGGAATTTTGTCATGTAATTTTTTCCAGTTTCTTTGAAAACAATACCCAGATATAGTTGTTAAACGTGAGCGACTTGCTGTTGGTAGTTTGCTAAAAAGGCGACAAGGAAAACAAAATATCGATTGTTTAACTTTGCTCCAAACAAGCCAATCACGGGGAACATATTCTCCATTTTTCATACTTGTATGTAGTATACAAAGAGGAAATGATTGTCTGTTCACATCTTTTAGAAATTGAGATGGGATCTTTTCTAGACCCCTACGAACAGCTTCCTCAATTTCAGAAGCATTTGGTCTTTCATTTTTTAGACTACTAACATCAAAGTCAAGCAGTTTTGTTTTAGTAATTTTATTATCGGTTATATTTGATTTATAATTCTCAGAGATATTGTTGATAGGAACTAAAAGATTGCCGGGCTCCACGTCATCTTTATATTTATGTTATCAGGATCTGGAAAGTCGGCAGTCACATTAATTAAATTTGCAGCTTGTTCAACAACGTTGTCGTTATTGTTAAAATTAGCTTCTACATTATGATATTCATTTTCTAAATCTTTCTCTTTCGAAGACACTGAAAATCCATAACTTTGAAGTAGAGTTTGTTTTTCATTTACTTTTTTCAATCTCGACAATTTTTCTTTCCTTTTTTGAGATCCAGATTTGTGATGGTAGTTCATTTTTTATTTGACTACTAAATAAGATTTTATACAAATTGGCATTAATTATCATACCGGTAAATAAAACAGCCTCTATATGATATAATATACCATATTAAAGATATGTCATTGATATATCGATGGTATGTATAATAAAGCAATATGTGCAACAAACACTCCTAAATATTAAAATTTTCGCGACAGGGGCTGAAATGGCCCCTGTCGCGAAAACTTCATGAGGCCCAAAAAATTGAGGAGCAAAAAAAAAATGAAACCAAATTTAACATAAAAAGTAATAATTTCTTAATTTTATTGTAAAAAAGTGCATTTATTTCATTTTTGCCCCAGTCGCAAAAAATATTCGCTACGTCACTGATCTTATGTGTCATATAATTTATTAGATAAAGCAATTTTTATAATTGAATACCTTACAACAAAACTCCATATACAACTGATTAAACTTGAACATAAAAATAAAATAAACTGTAGAATCAAAAAGACAATTTTCTGGCATTTAAAATACCGCAAGTGATTTAATGTTCTGCAAATGATCTAAAATACTCGAATTATACAAACTATAAATGCTTCCAAATAATGTGTTCAAAGTATATTTTTACTACATAATTTTTTTCTTGAGATATTTTCCTTTTGATTCATTTCCGAATAACTTAGCTTATAAAATTTATAAAATATTTATTATGTTTTGCATTTAAATTTAACGTTTACGGTGATACTAATATTAAAAACTGTAATTAGAACAACCAATCCGAAATCGGTGTATTTAAAAAGGAAAATATAATACTTTATAATACACAAGTCCGGGCCCTTGAACAGAGCCGGGCCCCAGGACAATATACCCCCTGACCTCCCCTCTCTACGGCCATGCATATATATATATATATATATATATATACATATATATATATTTAAGTGTTTTCAAAAAATTATATAAACTTACAGCTTTTTCTAAAACAATATGTCCAGTTTAAGTCTTTTGAAAGTAATTGCAGCAAGTACTTTATTAAGTGTTTAACTTTAGTATCTAAAAACACATTTCTTATTTTATTATTAATTGATTTCAATACATTAATGTACCTAACTCTAACCCTAACCAAGCAAAAACATAAAAATGCCTGAGGTTGGCAATTTTTTGCTGACCTCGTTTTTATCTTTTATAGTAAAACCTTTGTAATAATGGCTTTATATTTGCCGATGGTAATCTGATGCCAACCTAAAACAGTTTAAGGTTGAAAATTTATTACTCACTTTAGTTTTACTAATTTTGAGGGTTGTATATGCATGCATACTTACCTGTATTTGGGTGGCAGTGGACGAGGAGCTGCCAACTTGTGTATTCCATAATGCAAAAGTGTATCAATGTCTTTACTCTTTCTGAGTCAACTGTGACAGAAGACTTGTGCTATGTCGCCAACAATCTGAATTAAATAATCAGAATAAAAAAAGCATACAACTTTATAAAGCAGAGAAAACTTATAGAATAACCCATTAAAGGACATGGCAGTTTTGAAAATACCTTCTCACTTAAAAAAGGATTTGTGATTTTGAAACACTATTACATTTTATTTAATAAATATATGAACTCACAAATAAATAAAAAAATCTTACTAATAGCACATTAGGGAAACATTGATATTTTTCTAAAAATGCTGCAACTTTATCAACTCTTATTAACGCAGGTTAATAAATTAAAATTCTATACTTGGATCAATTAAAATAAGGATAAAAAATGTAAAAAATAAAATTAATAAATAATACTAAATTTACTAACTGAAAAGTATTGTTTTCTTTACTTACTTTACTTTGCATGTATTTGGAAACTTGCAATTGCTTAAAAGAAAACACACACATATATGTCATATATGTGTATGTATGCAACATACGCATGGATATTTAGAAATAGTACTAATACTAATCTTAAGTAAAAACCAATTATATAATAATAGCAATACAATATTAAAACAATTATAACGAAGTAAGCAATGTTAACAATTATATTTATATTAATATAATAATAACAATAATAATAGTAATAATAATATTGATAAATATTAAATTTAATATTAAACATAACAATAAGTAAAAGTGATATGAATAGAAGTAAAATAATGTTGATATTTATATTACATATAGTCATACCAAAAGCAATAATAATAACCCACAATGAGCGTAACATTTTACAAACAGTAATTACATTTCTCCAAAATAAAAAGACAAAGATGAGTTTTAATAGTAAAGTTTAGTGATATAAAGTGAATATAAAAAATAAATTATTCTGTGAATAAAAAACGATAAATTATTTCATGATTTTATCCATTGGTTTGTGATGTGATTTGTTATGCTGTACTAAACTGAACAATGATTTAGAAAATTTTAAGGTTGCTAAATGATGGAAGATAATATTGAGAATTTTTTATTGAAGTAAAGAAATTACAGATTGAAAGAGATAGGGTAAGTTGCGTGATTTCAGACAAATAAACAATTTAATAGATGAATAAGAACACACAATTTAATAATTTTGGATAGAAAGAAAAGAATATTAGAATTAGAGTGATATTCTTAAAAGTAAATTTTTTTAAATGTCATATTTTTAGATTGGATATTCATAAAAAATTATTGTTTTATAAATTATAAGTATAAATAATATATCATATTAGAGTGTTTCTAGTATGTTTGAGAAATAAAATTTATATTAAAAGAGATTTGCTTTTTACTATAACAATCTATTTGACTTTTGAAAAATATATTGCTGGATTAATACAGTTTTATTGATGTTATTTCATTAATGAAAAAATTGTTGGTTTGAATACTACAAACAACTTTTGGTCCAAATTGCGAATTTAATAAATAAGTTGCAGCATTGATTTTTACAAAACCAAAATTAAAAAAAAGTTGCTATATAAAAAAGATTATGTAGCTAAGATCCGCAGCCATTTTAAAATCTCTGAAATTTCTTATGAACTTTTTGAACATGCACTAATAATCATAACGCTTGTATTTGACTGTGCATAATTATAGGTTTTTAAGATTTTGGGGCCCTAATGACAGCTTGGGGGAGGGTTAGGCAGAAGTGGCAGAGTCTTTAGCCACACAAAAACTCCTTGATCCATCTCTTGGCAATTTATTTATTTTTGTTAAACTCATTTATTATAAAGAAGTGCACAACTTTGGACCACTTCAAACCAAATGTGTCCTCATTTATCAAACTCTGAGGGATGAAAGTTTGAGTTGACCTATGACCAGCTACCCAGAAATTAACCGGGGTTGATACCCGGTGGGAAATGAGCTAGCAACTAGCTAGCAAATAGCTAGCTCTATAGCGATTTTCTAGCGATTTTTTTTTTCCTTTTTTTTTTTTTTTTTGCAAATGTCTTAAACATCTTTAAAAATTCGATTTTTAGTGATGAGTCTATAATAACTATGAAAATAATTGAACTTTAAACATTGCTATTTTGTAGCAATGTATCGCTAGCTACATATCGTAGCTTTGTAGCTAGCTACTAAATATCTACAAATCTATAGCTGGTTGATAGCTACATATCAAAGTTTTTTAGACAACGATTTTGTTACGACATGACGCAAGGTACAATAGCCAGTGGATCTTCAGCTTATTAAGCTGTCCTCGTAGCCAAATCGCTGTCTTTATCTTTAAAAACATCGATAGCTTTTCGCTAACTTAAAAAAGCTAGCGATCCTCGTGGCCAAATCGCTGTCTTTGTTTTAACGATTATAGCTAGCTATTCGCTAGCCGATTTCCCACCGGGTAGCTTTTGAAATCAGACCAAGAATATTATCTGTATAAAAATTGTAAAAATATTTTACATTTAGAAAAAAAAAATTTGTAATTTAAATTATTTCATTTCAGAAAAAACACAGTTAAAAAGGCATTGTTTTTCTTTACATATTTTTAAAATAGCACGGATTTCACTTCGAGCACTCTTATTATCATATTGTAAAATGTATTCAAAAATATTGAAGTTTTGCAATTTAAATAACTTTTTGAAAATAAATGAATATAAGTTTAAAACTTAACTTAACTTTTAGTTATTTAGTAGAAATCAATCAAAAAAAATATTGAAGTTTTTAAAAATATCTCAAAGCAATAATTTAAAGATAATGGCAATAATTTGTTTTAATAAAAAATAACATAACCATCGAAAATTCTAGAAAAAATTCTAGTTCAAACTTTTGAAATGTATAGAAATATTAAATGAGCAATAAATATAATTAACTTAATTATTGTTAGTGAATCATATATTCTGCTTAATTATTAAGCAGAATATACGATTCGCTAACAGTTAGCGATTCATATATTCTGCTTAATTATATTCATTGCTCATTTAATATTTTTATACATTTAAAAAGTTTGAACAAGAATTTAATTTTCCAATTGTAATGCTATTTTTTATTAAAACAAGTTAGTCTAACTTGAAAAAGGGGACATGTTATGTGAATTTTTGCAGGACATGTCCCCTTTTTCAAGTTAGAGATTCATATATAAGTTCA